CCAGTTTGGGGGCATGGCCAACCAGCAATTGCTACCGGTTCGGCGAACCAGCCTCAAAATCCGCTACCGGTTCGCCCGAACCGGTCCGAACCGATAGCATTTCACCTCCTGCCTGTATCCCATATACTAAGTGTGTTACTAACTTTAGCTTGCTTATTCCTGATCAAAGAAATCCTGATCATAACGGTAAGTTAACGTGGTTGAAAAAAATGGGAATTCGCTCAAGATCAACCAATTTGCTTAAGATTTTTGTAGAAACCTGGATCTGCTGGTCAGAGAGCGATATTCTGCCAAGCTACCAAACTGGCATGCAGAAAGCATTCCTTTAAAAATGTATCTTTTTACATATCTCTTCCGCAGCCATTAATGTGGCTCTACCTTTAAAACATGATACTGCCAAATATCTGGAGCCTGCCAGCTGGCTAGCAGATAAGTTAAATGAATGTACTCTTTTGCATGTTTTTTTTCTGACATTTGTTCTTTAAAAAAATGCTTTTAATCATTTTAATTTAATTTGGTTGCTTTCAGTGATTTTTACATATCTCATTTTATTATGTACAGCACCCAGTCACTACATGAGATGGCAGCTGTACAAATGTGACAAAAAGATACGCAAATAAACTCCTCCCAGAATAATTGTTGGAAGAAACGTTTTTCTCCTGTTTTATTTTGCTTTCATCTAGTACGTATCTTATTTCACAAATGCTCTGTTTTAATTTCTTTTTTAGATGCGCTTCTGCGGTTTGCTTCTGGAATAATACTTTGGGTACCATATATGGCTTTGTGATTTGCGGTAGCGGGAAGTGGCACAGAAATTATTCAAATGTTTTCTATGTATCTGTAGAGATTGTTGCAATTACAATGTACAATATAAAAGTAAACACAATTTAGGTTTACATTATGCTTCTATATTAACTTAGATAAGTGAGCAGTAATTGTTATTCAGTTACACACCCTTCCTGCTTGCCTGTGCCTTCTGCAGCTCCCAAGTCTGGCATAATTATTGCATGTCCTGGTCAGTCCACCAGCCATGTGGGTGTTGAAATCTGAAAAATGCTTGAAAATCACAAGAGTTACAATCACTGGATATGTCTCAGGTGAATCAGACCAAGAACTGCAAGATGCCAAAACATTTCAGCTTCCCCAGCGATCAACCAATCCCAGTGCTTTTAAAGTAGCTTCGTGTTGTGCGCCAAACTTGCGCTTTGCGCAAGCGCGTTGCGAATCTGCCCAGCTGAGGTGCGGCAATCCGCTCTGCCGCACCTCTCAGCTGGGCGAAAAAAGAAGAAATATAAGGTCGGAATAATGTGGGGGCGGGCGGGAGGGCCCAATTTCCAAAGAAAGAGAACCGGTTCAGTGACGTAATAGCGTCACCGCTACCGGCTTGGCCGAACCGGGCCGAACCGAGAGGAACCCACCACTGGAAGGAGTGGTGATAGCGATAACCACACATTATTATGGGTGGGGTTGTTTTTTTTAAAGAAGGCATTACAAGGAACTCTGTAGGGTCTCTGCAAGTTGGGAGAACCATGTAGTAAGATGTGAAATGTCTTTCAATCTAAGTGTGGGAGGCAGACATTACTTTACACTTAGGCTGAAAGGCATTTTTCACGATCTACTAAACTTAACTTCACATTTATATTGATAGGGAATGAATTACCAGTGACAGATTTATTTATTATTTAAATTTATATGCTGCCAATCTCACTATCCAAGTGATTCTGGGTGGTTGTGAATCTTTCTTTTTCTTTCTTTCTCTTTCTTTCTTTCCTTCCTTCCTTCCTTTCCTTCCTTCCTTCCTTCCTTCCCAATCAATTTAATCTGTTTTCTAGGTATGCAGAATGCACTGAGCCGCAAACTAACCACGTGGCCAAAGTTGGAACAATTTGCAAACAAGTTGTTCAACCTTTTAAATAAGTAAAAGTAAAGCTCATTGAATTTGGTGTAGCTGCAAATGTAACGGGAAAGGATGCTGTGAAACACTGCCTCCAAATACCATGTTTCCCCAAAAATAAGACATCTCCTGATAATAAGCCCAATCGGGCTTTTGAGCACATGCACTAAAATAAGCCTCCCCCCCGAAAATAAGCCCTCCCTGAAAATATTTAAACGCAGAGCTAGAAATCAGGTAAGATGGAATCTGTATTTTCTTCTTTGTGACAAAACACACCAAGAGTGCGCATGTGTGCGCATACACATGCACTTGTCTTCCAGGAGAAATCAAGGAATATGGATATAATATTGGGGGTAGTACAGATATGGCCTCTGTTAAGGTAAAGGTTCCCCTCGCATATATGTGCTAGTCATTCCCGACTCTAGGGGGCGTTGCTCATCTCCATTTCCAAGCCGAAGAGCCAGCACTGTCCAAAGACGTCTCCGTGGTCATGTGGCCAGCATGACTCAATGCCAAAGGCGCACGGAACGCTGTTATCTTCCCACCAAAGGTGGTCCCTATTTTTCTACTTGCATTTTTATGTGCTTTCAAACTGCTAGGTTGGCAGAAGCTGGGACTAGGAACGGGAGCTCACCCCATTACGCGGCACTAGGGATTCGAACTGCTGAACTGCCGACCTTTCGATTGACAAGCTCAGCTCTTAGCCACTGAGCCATTGCGTCCCCTTGTGACCTCTGTTAGCCACAAGTCTTGTTCTCAAGGCGGCTTCTGTTCTTCACTATGTTGTGTCTGTGTCTATGTGAAGCACAGGATGGGTTGCCTCTGAGTCACATGGCCAGGGAGAAGGAAGGTGAAGGCCTTATGAATGGAGTCTCCAGCAACATTCTGGGCTGTCCACCCCGCCCCCCTGCATAGCAATAGCACTTAAGACTTATATATCGCTTCACAGTGCTTTACAGCCCTCTCTAAGTGGCTTACAGAGTCAGCCTATTGCCCCCCAACTATCTGGATCCTCATTTTACCCACCTTGGAGGGATGGAAGGCTGAGTCAACTTTGAGCTGGTGGGACTCAAACTGCCAAACTGCTGGCAGCTGGCAGTCAGAATGCAATACTGCATTCTAACCACTGCGCCCCCAAGGATCTTCTGCAGTGGGAATCTCTTTTTTTTTTCTCTATAGCCTCTGACTAGATCTGGATCATTTGATAATTGCTGGGAGTTGAATACCATGCACGTTTTAATAAATCATTCTTCTTCTTCTCATAGTTCTCCTTTCTTCTGCCATACTAAATTTGACCCTCTCTGTTCTGATTGTTGAAGCATTATCCTTCTGACTCTAGACCTGCAAACACACAGAGAGCGTGTGAGAGAGAGAGAGAGTCCTACACCTTCCACAGACTTCCTTTCTAAGAACTATAAGACTGCAGAGCAGTGGTCCCCAAACTTGGCAGCTTTAAGACTTGAGGACTTGAAACTCCAGCTATGTTGGCTGGAGAATTCTGGGAGTTGAAGTCCTCAAGTCTTAAAGCTGTCAAGTTTGGGGACCTCTGCTGCAGAGAAATCACAAACAGAAGAACACAAAATTACTTGCAGAAGCAGACTAACACAGATGAGGTTGCCTTCACTGGAACTAGGGAGGAAGGAAGAGGGAACTGACCTATTGTCCACCTTCCCATATTCACTGCAATCATAATTGCCTGCGCTGGCAACATGTTAAAAGACTGTTGACCTTCACTTCCTGTGCTGACCTTTGTGTAACATCGCCCTTGCTGCTGAGTTACTGAAACATTTTTTTCCTGGGCCCACAGAAGCTACTCATTGATAAGGAGGCTGCATCTACAGATAGCTCTCTGCGTACTTTAGGATCAGAAATTCTGTCGCTAACCAGAGTCGTTACTAAGTGAGAGGCGCCCAATTTGATGATCTTTTATTTTTGCTCAATCGCCATAGTGGTCAGGTGAATCAGGTAGTGCATGGGTGTCAAACTCAAAGCCCGGGGGGGTGCGGATCCGGCCCAGGGAGGGTGCTTAGATCTGGCCCACAAGGCTGCCCTGGAAAAAGTGAAGGATTGGCCTGCGGTACCTCTGCCAGTGAAAACGGAGCTCGGGAGGGTCGCAGGCGGCTCTCCCGAACTGTGTTTTCACTGGCAGAGGGTTGCAGGAGGTCATTGCAGCCGAAAACGGAGCTTGGGAGCCCGTTTTCTCTGGCAAAGTGCTTGAGCCACCACAAGTGGCCTTGGTAGCACAGTGGTCTAAGCACCCTGTTATTAACACAGCTGCCTGCAATTACTGCTGGTTCGAATCTCGCCAAGGCTCAAGGTTGACTCAGCCTTCCATCCTTTCTAAGGTAGGTAAATTGAGGACCCAGTTTGTGGGGGCAATAAGCTGACTTTGTATAAAATATACAAAAGAATGGAGGCTATTGCTTAACGCATTGTAAGCCGCCCTGAGTCTCCGGGGAAGGGCGGCATATAAATCAAATTTTTAAAAAAAGTGTCCCCGACATGAGTGACATCGAATTGGCCATGCCCCCCCAGGCCACCCACCCAGGCCCCATGAGGTCAAACACAACCCTGATGCAGCCCTCAATGAAATCAAGTTTGACACCCCTGAGGTAGTGAATTAAGTGAATTCCGCTTTCCCCATTGACTTTGTTGGAAGCTGTCTGGGAAGGTCACAAATGGCCCTCATATGACCCGAGGACCTGTGGTGAAATCCTCCGCGGTTTGCCACCAGTTCGCTGCCCGCACATGCGCGGTGCACGCCAAATGCATGCTGCGTGCATGTGCGTGCTCAGTGCGCACCAAATATGCGCTTCGCACGGAAAAAGGAGGTAAGTAGAACAGCGAAGGGGGGGAACAGATGTGTCGCGTGATTTAGATTTGCTAGAAAGCAGGATTTCCTGCTTTCTAGCGAATATAAATCACACGGCACAGCTGATCGTCGGAAATACCGGTTTGGATGAACCGATATCTTTTTTATTACTACCGGTTTGCCTGAACTGGTGCGAACCAGTAACATTTCACCCCTGCTGAGAACTCTGCAACCATCGCAAATACACAGAGGTTGCTAGGCGTCTGAATTCTGATCACATGACCACGGGAACACTGCAAAGGTTGAAAGTCTGAGGACCAACTGTAAATCACATTTTTGCAGTTGCCAAACGAACGGTTGTTAACTCAAGAACTCCCTGCATCCTAAACATACCTATCAACGTCTAGCAGCACGGCAAGAGGTAAGATCTTTTTCTTTCGTGAACTTCTGTTTTGTCATTTGCAAAGAAACAGAAGTTCACGAAAGAAACACCACGGAGAGCTGAGCTGGGGTGATGGTGCATGTGCCACCAGAAAGGGCTCTGCATGCCACCTCTGGCACACATGCCATAGGTTCACCATCATTTTTATTTATTATTTATTTATTAATCAAATTTCTATACCGCCCTACTCCCGAAGGACTCAGGGCGGTGAACAGCCAAGATAAAATACAGATAATACAAATATTAAAAAATCCCTTAAAATTATTAAATATTTTGGCCGAAACACAGATTAAAACACCCAATTTATAAAATCACAAATTAAAAAATTTAAAAAATTTAAAAAATGGGAGTTAGGCCAGGCCAGCTTGCTGAAATAGAAAAGTTTTGAGAGCACGGCGAAACGTGCGCAGGTCCGGGATCTTCCGTATCTCTGGGGGGAGCTCGTTCCAGATGGTAGGTGCCCCCACAGAGAAGGCTCTCCCCCTGGGGGCCGCCAGTCGACACTGTTTGGCCGACGGCACCCTGAGGAGCCCCTCTCTATGGGAGCGTACTGGTCGGTGAGAGGCTATTGGTAGCAGAAGGCGGTCTCGTAGATACCCCGGTCCGATGCCATGGAGCGCTCTAAAGGTGGTAACCAAAACCTTGAATCATGGCCATAGGGCCAAAGATACGAACGCACAGTTGTGTATTCACACAACACGCATCACCTAGTTGTTAATAAATCTATTTGGGGAATTTCAGAATACAATGATCTGTCCATTAACCAAATGGCCTAAGCTTACACAACATACCAAACCACAAAATAATTAAGCAAGAACAAAAGAAAAAGAAAAAAAAGAAGCCCTGGCATTTCTATATGTACTGTATGCAGCTACAGCTGCTAAGTTTGTAAACTCACATCCTTAAACGGCTGTGTGAATCTTAACTAGTGATTTTCTGGCATCCCCATGGTCCTAAGACCTTTATACATTCAAAATCATGTGACTGGCCTGCAAAGTTTTGAATAAGGATCTCAGAACTTTTAGAACGGTCCACACCGGTTTAAAAAAAAAAATGAAGATATTTGTGGCACCTTAAACATTCTCCAAAGGTACATCACAATTTTTTGTTTATCCTCCCATACTGCTTTTTAGGGCTTTGGAACATCTTCATCTCCCACATATATATAATGGAAGGACATTAGACGCTCGGGAAAACAAACCCAAATGCTTCTGGAAAGTCTCTTCACTGTGCAATTATATATTCAACTTCTTCAGTTGCTAAAAATATGTTTCAAGATCCTCACAAATTGGCTGCTTTGCCAAAGATGCTTGGCCATGCTACTCCAGACTAAGAAAGGATTCTCTCCTGATTCAAGGATACCTCAATTTCAGCCCACGGAAAAAATAAATCACATACTGTACTGCACATCTGCTCAAAAGCACATGGTATCTGTTTGTTCATACATTAGCTGACACACAAGTCAACAAAGATAATCCAAGAACTGGCTGGCATTCTTCCTGTTGCAACCTCTGTCTATGTGGGGCTTGGGGATGAGGAGTGAGCCACAGGGAACATCAGTAGCCTGTGCAATATTGAACAGAAGAAAAAAAAACAGTTCAAAAGCTGGAAGAGGGAGGGGGAGGGAGGGAAGGAGGAAGGAGGGGAGAGAGAGAGAGAGAGAGAGAGAGAGGGAGGGAGGGAGAGAGAGAGAGAGAGAGAGATGCATTTACCCAATACACAAAAGCTATAATTCACTTTCACAAAATATAGGGAACCCCGAAACCAACCACACGGCCTGGCCTCACACAAGATGTGAAACCACCAAAAGCCAACCAGGTTTAAAAAACAAAGCCAAGACTAGCAAGTTGTGTGAATGCACACACACGCACAAACACACAAGAGGGGTTTATTACAGACTAATGTTTATAATGTGAAGCCTGCCATTCTGGCGCTGTCCAGACATTGAGGTCCATCATCCCTTCAGCTGGTTGGTCCTGCAGGCTAGAGAAGATGGGCAGCGTGGCTCGATAACATCACGACTGGAAAAGGACCGTCCGCGGGGGGGGGGGGTCCTGCGTGCGCGCGCCCGACAGCCAACCCACCCGGGAGCGGAGATCTGCACGCACCCCCGCAACAAAGGGGCAACACACACCACGATCCACAGGGCGACCGGCAGGGAATCGCCGATGCCCCCAGAGGGGAAAGGACGAGCGGCTGGATCGAAACCCGTGGGGGGCGGGGGGGGGGGGGGGACCGGGAGGAAAGAGGAAGAGGAGAAGGGGCAGCCCTCCAAAACAACCGCCGCCGTTCGCAGGGATGCCACGCACTCCCTTCCACCAGCCCACGTTCGCTCCCTCCCTCTCTCTCTCTCTCTCTCCCTCCCTCCCTCCTTCCCTCTCTCCCACTCCTCTCCCTCCCTCTCTCCCTCCCTCCTTCCCTCTCTCCCCCCTCCTTCCCTCTCTCCCTCCCTCCTTCCTTCTCTCCCTCCCTCCCTCTCTCCCCCTCCCTCCTTCTCCTTCCCTCTCTCCTCTATCCCTCCCTCCCTCCTCCTCTCTCTCCCTCCTTCTCCCTCCCTCCCTCCTTCCCTCTCTCCCACTCCTCTCCCTCCCTCTCTCCTTCTCTCCCTCCCTCCTTCCCTCTCCCCCTCCTTCTCTCCCTCCCTCCTTCCTTCTCTCCCTCCCTCCCTCCCTCCCCCTCCCTCCTCCTTCCCTCTCTCCTCTCTCCCTTCCTCCTTCCTTCTCTCCCTCCCGCCTTCTCCCTCCCTCCTTCCCTCTCTCCTCCTCCTTCTCTCCCTCCCTCCCTCCCTCTCTCTCTCCCCCTCCCTCCTTCTCCTTCCCTCTCTCCTCTCTCTCCCTCCCTCCTTTTCTCTCTCCTTCTCTCCCTCCCTCCCTCCTTCTCCCTCTCTCCCGGCAACTCTTTTGTCCCTCCATCTCTTCCTCCCTCCATCTGCCAGCTGACAAGCGAACAACCCCACACGCGAAGCCTAAAGCCGGGCGGACGCCGATGCCCTCTTCCCGCCCGGATCTCACTTCCCCCCCCCCCCCCCCCCCCCCCCCCCCCCCCCCCCCCCCCCCGCGCCCCCCCCCCCCCCCCCCGCCACCCACCACCCACCCACCCTCTTTGCCTGGCGTCCGGACCACCGCAGCCTCCTCCTCCTCCTCCTCCTCCCTGCCCGACGGGACCGCGCGGCAGCTCCACGCCATCCGTTCCCTCCGCCAGCCCGGCATCCCCCTCCCCTCCCTTCCCCTCCGCCTCCCCCTTTCCCCTGCAGCGCGGCTCCTTACTCGAACATAGCCCGGCGCGGGCAAATGCGGGGCGGGGGGCGGGCGGACGCCCCCCCCTCCCCCGCCCGGCCGGGATGGAGAGGCGAGCGAGGGTCCCGGCCGGCGGCTCCCGTTGTGCCGCGCGGAGGAAGAGGCAGGCCGTCCTCTGCCGCCCGCCCTCCTTCCCTGCCCGCCTGCCTCCCTGCCTCCTTCGACGGCGGCCGCCCCTTTTTGTCGCACGCAGCCCCTCGGCGGCTCCCCCCCCCCCGCCCGCCGCCCAGCCGCGCAGCCCAGCGAAAGGGCGGGGCCAGAAGCAGGCGGGAGGAGCCAGCGGGCGCGCGGAGACCTTTCCGCTCTCGTGTAAAGCGGAGGTTGGGGGGGGGGGACGACACGAGGAGGGGGGGGGGGGAAGAGGAGGATACCCAGGCCTGGTTGGTTGCGATGCCCCGATTTGGCTTCGCCCGTTTCCTTTCCCGCAGAAGGGGCCGAACCTCCCGGGCCAATTCCGGGGTTGCACGGGGACCGGGCTGCGGCTGAGCCTTACGAGCCGCCCCAGGACGCCTCGCCTGTCTAGGCACGTACCCCGCTCGGGCACGAGGTGCCGCCTCCTCCTCCTCTTCTCTTTTCTCGCGCTCACCCACCCACCCAGCCACGGGCGCACGTGTGGTAGCAGAGGATGGGTGAGGAGGAAGCGCTTCCGATGGGCGCCCCAACATTGGGACGCGGCTTCTCTTGTTCCCAGCAGGAGAAAGCGCTCCTTTTTAGGGGATCCGGAGTTGCGGAAAGAGACAGATCGTGTGTTTGTGGGGGAGGGGGGAGGTTTGGAGGTGGGATACACAGTCAGTGGGACTGGATTCCAGGCTTCAATGTTATGTATGTTTTCAACTTGGTGAGCCATGCATCAAGTCTGACTCATTCGGCGCCCTCTGAATTTCAGGAGATTGGTTCTAAAATTATATATGTATGTGTGTATGTGTATATGTGTGTGTGTGTGTATATATATATATATATATATGCATATGTATATATGTGTGTATGTGTATGTATATATGTGTGTAAGTATGTTTGTTTATTTATTTATTAAATTTATATTGCCTATTCACCCATGGCAACTCAATCCTGGATCCAACCCACTGCTGCCCTCTTGGAAAAAATAAAAGCTTTTATGTAGGCTCACCAATAGTTTTGATGGCTAACCATTAAAAAGTATGATACACCCCCCCCCCTCAAAAAATTAACACTTCATCTTGGAAAGGATCACATTCAAGAATTTTAAGTTGAATCAGAATCAGAAATGCAGAATTAGCTCATTTCAAGTATTGGCAAAAATCCAGTTTGGAGGACTGTCAATCCTATTACTCTTAAACTAAGATAGACGCACTGCACAGGGTCGTTGAACTGACAAAAAGTGAATGTGGGGATCTGAAGGATAGGATGGGATTTTCATCCTTTTGGGGGAAGAGGGTCAATTTTTAATAAGAAACATACATACAAAATCAGGAATTTTCTCAACGCACAAAAACTAAGATATTTTAAAAAGATTCATCCACCCAGGCAAACACAGCTTGTAAAAATATCTGGATATGAATCTTGGTAGGATTATTTCCTAGAATCGAATGAAGATCTTGTTTTGTGTATGACAAGCTCATGTATTTTCAAAGAGTTAATGCAAGCAAGTACAAAAAAATGTGTTCTTGAATACTGTGGTTCCTCTTGAATGTCCACAGTGCAAATTTTTGCATTGGTTTGCATTGCAAATTTTTGGTACTAGTATTTGATAAGAATTTAGCAAAACGTTCTGATTTTACAAATTGGGTGGAACAGAGATTAAAAAAACGTGAGAAAGCGAAGTTGACCATTTCATCTACCAGAGGGCAACAGCAGACGCAAAGACATCCCAATCTGCTTTCAGAGAAAAGCATTTGACCCAATTAATACTCCACCCAGAAAGTATGATCTCTCCAACACCTCTCATTACTGTTCAATTTCATAATCATTAACTGTCACATGAATGGTGTGCTATGGAAGCTGTTTCAATGATGGGAGTCGATTGCATTATTGAAGGTAATGTTCCATTATTATTCTGTGCAGATTAAAAAAAAAAAAACATGGAGCCAGAAGTGGGTTTCACTTACCTTTATCACTGGTTCGCTGCGCGCACTCATGCTCGCTCACTGCATGCGCTGTCCACGCATGCATTTGGCCTTCTGCGCATGTGCTTTGCTTGCTCGCATGACTCTCGTGCATGTGCCCAGCCTCGAAAACGTGCCTAAACAGCATGACTTGGATCCAGGGTGGATGGACTGGCCCACCCACAATCTCTGCTACCGGTTCCGGCAAACTGGTCCGAACCGGCTGAATACCTCCTCTGCATGGAGCCTGCCATGCATACAAAATATGGGCAGGAAATTAAATTAAGGACTTCATCTTTAAATTATGTCTTTTTTTAAAAATAAAACAGGGAGGTCTGTTGATGGGGAGGAAGAATAAAGGGGAAGGACTCCCAGTTTTAAATGCAACCGTTATTTTATGCCAACTGACGCTTACTGAGGTTAACACTGATTCTCATGTCACCCAAAACTGTTTTAATGGCAGATGTCTTACCAAAGCTACTATGCCAACTGACAGCCATAACATGCAGTAGAGAACTTCCAGTTTAAACAGAGGAACTACTTTTGACCTAGTGCCACTTCCTGCCCACATACTGCAATTTTTAACTGCAGCCAAATCATTCAAAATTTGGAGGATGGGGGGCGGGGGAAAGAGTTCAACCAGTAAAGCAAAAGGGCAAAAGCATGTTCTGCTTCCGTTTGGCTTGGCACGTTCCAGGCTCCTGAGAATGTGAAGTAGGAGCTTTTGTTTGCTTTGCAAGACAATAAAACTGAAAGCAAACAAGGGTCGAGATTTATCAAGCCACTCATACTGTAAAGCCATGTCAGTCTGGCATTCTTCTAGCAAGAGCCAACAACGCATGGTGTGTGTGTGTGTGTGTGTGTATATGACTAAGCCAACCGCTAAAGGAGAAATACTTGTTTCTTTTACCCTCCTCCTGCTACTTCTATTATTAAAATTGCCCCTTGTTGCTATTTGTGTCAAACGAGAGGCAGAGAAAGAGACATTTGTGTCAAATGTGATCACTTCCTCTATGAGGCAACAAGAATTAGAAAAATATAGCATGGTTGGCTCAATTACAAGCAAACAAACCATATCATTTAGTCTGTAGTATGAACAAAGGCAGACAAACTTTTGTTAAAGCTACAATGAAGTTAACAGCTTGTGATTTGCAAGTGCAAATTCATTCATTCTCTTAGCATGGTGCGTGAACCTAACACGGGTCAGCAACCTGCAGCTCTGGAGCCGCATGTGGCTCTTTCATCCTCTCCTGTGGCTCCCTGTCACTCAAAATTGGCGTCACGACTGCCAATGTGTGACACCTGCCGGCACGCTGTTTATTGAGCTTTTCGCCCCCCGGTAGGCCAATTATGGATAAATCCGAGAAAAGAAAAGTTTCAGAAGAAAACAGAACATTTAATTCAACTACATATGCTAGTTTTGTGGCCGCTCAAGAAATAGTCAGGCATAGGAAGGGTTTGTGGCTCCCGGTGTTTTCTTTTCTGTGGGAAACGGGTCCAAATGGCTCTTTTGAGTGTTTAAGGTTGCTGACCCCTGACCTAACAGATTAAAATATGGTCGGTTTCAGCACAGCATAGTTTGAGACTATAACAGTTTGTGCTTACTGTGTTACATAACCCAGCTTTTGTGCAAGGTGATCTCTTGGAAAGATGAGGATACTTTCTGTAGGATAATTCTACTGCTTCTAAAAAAGGCCCTCGTCGTTTTCAACACTGAATTAACATAATACATGTTCTTTAATGGGTTAGACATTGTTGCAAAGAATGTGAACAATTCTGATACAGCCATTCTCAAGATGTAGAACGAAAGGCATAATCTGGGAGGAGGAGCCAAAAAAGGAATGAGTCTAGAATCTCTACATAGCCTCAAACGGACTAAGTCCAACTCCCTCTCTCCTTGAATTCTATCAACCCTTCTCTAGCACCAAAATAGCACTGTTAGTTGAGTAGATTCCTGGCACGAGCAATAGAATGGCAACGGAACTTCATGTGTGATCCTGGTCTTTTGCCCCCGACACAAAAAGCTTTCCAAGAAACCTGGTTCTTCCACAGCAGCACCAACACTTGCAAAAATGTATCTCCAAAGTCTTTTATTTTCTGGACCATAAGAATAAATTCCATGTATTATAATTTGCTAACAAACCATCATACAATGTATTATTAAGTCACAATGTGGCTTGGTGGAAATTCATGGGTCTAAACTGAGATTTCTTCAAATCATGTTTAATAAAACTTAGCCGAGTGTAACGTACAGCCCAACTTAGGAAAGCTGTGAAAACTTCACACAGGCATTACACCATCCTAGAAAAAGGGTTTGACTGGTTTTGATCTAATGTTTAACATGTGAACCGAGCATGCAATATGAACCCACACACTTTACAGGCCAACTGTTGCTTTCAACTATCAACCACAACCTTGTGACCAAATTTCAGATATGACGGAACTGTGGTGTAACAATAACTGGCAGGTCTGTTCCTACCCACGCTCCCCTTCCCTCAAGGGAGCAAATGTTAATCCAATTCAAATCTTATTCCCTATAGGGCCTGAGAATAAAAAAAACAATATAGGCAGATCAAGAACGTATAGGAATGGAGGGGATGAGATAAAGACACCCTCATCTCCTATTTCCATCGACGAAGGGAACAGTGGCATTTCTGGATAGCTTTTCTTTTTTTAGAGAAAAAAAAAAACCACAGGATAAACGTAGCCTACCAGAAACACACACACAAAAAAAACCACAGCCCGTCTTTCCACCGCAAGGACTGAGACGACCAAACCAAGCCTCGGTCCTGCTGCTCCCGTCTTTATTTGTAGAACTCATGTTCCTGTTCGTCTTTCTTGATGACCGTTTTGTAGGCTTTTTCAAAGTCCTTGGCGAGGACAATGTAACGGTTCTCCCGTACTGCCAGCATCCCAGCCTAAAAGGAAGAATGAGAAGATAAGGAGGCTGGGAAGAAGGGGAAATGTTTCAAACACCAACTGCAAAGGAAAGGGAGCGCTCACAATAAAAGAAGAGAGGTGGGAAAGACATCGCGTAGCAATACTCAAAGGCAGTGGTGAAATCCAATTTTTTTTTTTACTACCGGTTCTGTGGGCGTGGCTTGGTGGGTGTGGTGTGGCTTGGTGGGCATGGCAGGGGAAGGATACTGCAAAATCCCCATTCCCACACCACTCTGGGGCCAGCCAGATGTGGTATTTGCCAGTTCTCTGAACTACTCAAAGTTTCTGCCACCAGTTCTCTGAATTGCTCAGAATTTCTGCTACCGGTTCTCCAGAACCTGTTAGAACCTGCTGGATTTCACCCCTGCTCAAAGGCATGTTTTCGTTCAGATTTATAATTCACACCATCTGGGCAAAACGTTCTGGGAACTGCAGCCCAATGAAATTGCCCAAGGAAGCAGTAGCCTCCCTTCAATGGATGTCAACAGACTGCCGAGTATGTTAAAATTTGGATTCCTGCATTGAAACTGAAGTATGTTTGCACTCCCGAGCCCACTACAGCCACTGCAAATATACACACATTCAGGTAACATATAAATCCATTTATTTAGAGGGTCCCTACTTTAATTCCCAGTTCTCAACTGGTTAGAAACCAAAACTAATATTGCTGTTTGCTGAATCTCAACCAGCAATCTTTCCATTCACTTCCATGTATAATGATTTGTTTTGCCTTCTCTTTTATCCCACGTAAGTGGAAATGCCACTGATGGTTGGGGAGGGGGGGGAGGGAATGTCTGCTAAAATCCACCACCAGGAGAATAAAACCCAGTGAGATGGGCAAGATTATCAGATGTAACGCTGGCAAAGAACCTTAGTCCTCCTACAGAGTTTGCTATAGAGGCAAGATCCAGACTCATGACTCTCAGCTCACAGCTTAAATTCCTGGCTACCAGCCTACACACGTTCTCTCACAGAAGTTGACCCAAGAGAAGCATGATTCAGAGCCTAACATTTTCATGCCTATTTTTTCCCCCCACTTCTCTGAAGATTTCTCTCATTTCCCTAAATTGTTAAGATTGCTAGACAAGAATAAAGAGGAAGCGGGGCTGAAGACCGATGGCCATCTTCTTTTGGGGAACGATGAACAAGAGCATACAAACCTCCTGGCAAATGGAGTTGATGTCAGCTCCCGAGATCTTATCAGGTCGTGCCACATCTAGGAGGAGTGAAGGAAAAGAGATAGGGAGAAAAGGCCCAACCTGACCATTCCCACAATTTTAGCTAGCTGACCTTCTGCAATCGGGACATTTCTCTTCTAAGTGGTCACCTTTCCATTTGACCCAGTGAAACGTTACAGGAAAACCAACCGATTGGGAACCAATGATTGAAATAAAGTTAAGTAATCACTTCATTGGAAAAGGTACATTCTCCCAGGCAATAGCAATAGCAATAGCACTTAAGACTTATATACCCCTTCATAGTGCTTTTACAGCCTTCTCTAAGCTGTTTGAGGGACACAATGGCTCAGTGGCTAAGATGCTGAGCTTGTCGATCGAAAGATTGGCAGTTCAGCGGTTCGATTCCCTAGTGCCGCGTAACGGGGTGAGCTCCCGTTGCTTGTCCCAGCTTCTGCCAACCTAGCAGCTCAAAAGCACGTAAAAATGCAAGTAGAAAAACAGGGACCATCTTTGGTGGGAAGGTAAAAGCGTTCCATACGCCTCTGGCATTTAGTCATGCTGGCCACATGACCACGGAGGCATCTTCGGACAGCGCTGGCTCTTCAGCTTTGAAACAGATGAGCACTGCCCCCTAGAGTCAGGAACAACTAGCACATACGTGCGACACGAACCTTTACCTTACCTTTACCTAAGCGGTTTACAAAAGCAGCGTATTGCCCCCAACAATCTGGGTCCTCATTTTACTGACCTCGGAAGGAGGGAAGGCTGAATCAACCTTGAGCCAGTGAGATCTAAACTGATGAACTGCAGCTAGCAGTCAGCTGAAGTAGCCTGCAAGGCTGCACTCTAATCACTGCGCTACCTTGGCTCTTACATGAAGCTTCATAAAGTGGAATCCCCTTTCCCTCTGAAGAATGGACCAGATGAATTGGGAGGAATCTGGCAACAACACAAAGTGGAACTTGGTTGATATCCCATTTCGTAACAAAGGGCACTGGCAGATTAGGCAAGAACACAACAAATGCCCAACCCGACTGCTTTGTTTTCAAGGCTAAACAGAAAACAGCTCTAACCAGTCAGGAGAAACTATTATAGCATGAATGCTCCCTCCCACAGTAGCTGCCTCTAATTTGTTCCTGGAGAAGGGAGGGATCTGCTGGGCAAGAAGCAGCTCTTGCAACGCAACAATTGGGGGCGTGAATGGCCCCAGGAAAGCAGCTGAAACGTATGCATCTTAAGCACTGACTGAAGTGTTTTTATCTACTGTTTACCCTGCCCTTGATTCAGAAGCTCAAGGTACTGCACACAGCACTGTTCCTTTTTATTTTTCCCCTCAATAATGACCCATGGAGATACACTGGACTAAGAATGCATGATTGGCCCAAGTTACACTGCACATTTCTACAGATAAGGGTAGACTAGAATTTGGGTCTCTTTTCTCCAACACTTTAATCAGCATTCCAACAGTGGATTAGGGAGACTCAAGTGCAAGTCCTCACTTGAATTTATAGGTCGCTGGGTGACTCTTAAGTCTGATACCCGCTCTCGGCAAAGCCTACTTCATAAGAGTTGTTCTTGGAAGAAAAAAATAGACAGAGGTGTCTATATACACAACCTTGAATTAACAAAAAAAAAGGAGGATACAACGAAAACATATAGTGAAATCATACAATTATGAGTTGCTGGAACTTGAATACTTTGCCCCAATAAGATGCGCTAGACACAAAACCTTTGTCTCCCCCAACCTGCTGCCTGAAATGGAAGCTGTAATCTATCCCACAGGGGGAGTCCAAGGCAACTTTACGTAACTTATTTTTCAGAGTATAAGACGCTCCGGACTATAAGACGCACCTACCATTTTTGGTGAGGAAAACAAGAAAAAGAAATCTGCCTCTGCCTCCCAGCAATTTTGCCTCCTTGCAGCAAACAGCAAATAGCCTGCTTTACTTTCATTTTCGTTTTCAGCATAGCTTGATTTGCACAAGAAAAAAAAACCTGCTCCCAGCAATGTACCTCTTTGCAGCAAGCAGCAGAGGCCTGCGCAAAACAGGTGAGAGCAAAACAGCTGAGAGTCGGGTGGCCAATCCAATCAACTTGTGCTAATTAGGCTGTGCTGAAGCAGAAACCAGCTGTTTCTTCTTGCTGCTTGCTGCAAGGAGGTAAACTGCTGGGAGGCAGAGGCCAAAGGGTGGGCGGTGCTACATTCGGTGTAAAAGATACACCTAAATTTTCACCCTCTTTTTGGGGGGGGGGGGTGCGTCTTATACTCCAAAAAGTACAGTAATTTCTTTACAATATTAGGTTGGAAAGAATTTCCAAAAAAAACCCGACACCAAAACACACCCCAAACATTCTGCTCTATAGATCAGGGGACTCCAAATTTGGCAACTTTTAAGACTTGGGGACTTCAACCCCCAGAATTCCCCAGTCAGAGCTGAGGAATTCTGGGAGTTGAAGTCCACAAGTCTTAAAAGTTGCCAAGTTTGGAGAGCCCTGCTATAGATAAATGTAGCAATGTCCCTTCAATAAGGCACACCCCCTCTCTCAAAAAAAGTGTCACTTCTATTGTCTAAATTCTTGTCAAGGATACAATCTTCCAGATCCACCTCCTCAGATAGATTCATCTTGCTGGTGATGGTAGAGAAAATTAAGCGTTTTTGGCGTCTATCTGGCAGAGGAAACTCGATTTTACGATCTAAACGGCCCGGTCGGAGCAAAGCAGGATCCAGGGTGTCTGCTCGGTTTGTAGCCATTATCACCTGTGGTCAAAAGAACAAGAGATGAAGAAACCACATCAATCCTGAATTTTAAAGTGTCATCTCAGCCCAAAGCTATATTCATGGCTTGGGTACTCTTAAACACAGCTGACTAAGGCAGATAGTGAACTGAAGTTTAATAAGTAAAGTGAGAAAATCTTTCCCCCGTCTGAAATTTTCCTTACTTTAGCAACTCTAAAAAGCTTGGGATTGTTATGGTCGGTTCAATGACTAACAAGGATTCTGAAAACCATCAACTCCCTGTAAGCTTCTTGCCTTGTTGGATCATGGGAATACTATTAGTAGAAGAAGAAAAAAATCAACCTACAAAGAATTGACTGTAAATAGGAAATAGTTCCATTACTGGAATTTTTCTAACCTCAGCCCATCAAAGATGAAACATATTTGGAAAAAAATACTTATTATTTTAGGTACGTGCCAAAAAAAACCTGACCTAGATGGGCAAGGAAGCTGCATAACTTTTTTTTGACATGGCAAGTGCCTCAGTAGATTATCAGCCATTATGAACTGTGGGCTAAAATTTTATTGATTGCAATATATTAATTTGGGGTATTTTCCTGAGATTTGGGATGAGTTTTCTTCTTCTCCCTTACATACACAGGCACATTGTATTAAGCATCGTATTTGTGCAGTGCAAAATGAAGAAAAGTGGAAGGAGATCGTTGTCACCCTAGATCATTCAAGTCATCTTTAAGCCCCAACACACCTTAACATTAACATTCTGGTCAAAGCCATCCATCTGGTTGAGAAGCTCCAAGAGAATCCGCTGAACCTCCCTGTCCGCTGTGGAGAGATTGACAAAACTATCAGAGGATGGCCAGCTAAGAGAAAAAATCCATGCATTCCTCCATATTTTTAGTCTTCATTCATCCTTCATTCCACAGACTTTAAAGGACATCACACCAGCTTGTGCTCCCTCTGGGAAGCAACTCAAAATCAAAGAACTCTTAATTTTTATTCATGCTCCCAAGTTTCAAAACTTATTATAAAATTATGGACAAAATACTGAAGAGGAACCAGAATCTCGTGAAACTTTCAAAAATAGATAAATGAAGTAAGAAGTTTTGCAATCTATCCTCTTAAGGTTTTCCCCAATTTAGATGTTTTTTAAATGTTGAAATTCTTCTCTTCCAAAATGAATTCTATAGAACGGTAGGATTTGGTTAATCAGTTTACTATTTCATACAATTAAGAGCTGCCAGGATTTCTAACCTCCCCTTTCTTAAATCCTCACTTGTTATCCAGGGGTGTCAAATTCAATTTCATTGAGGGCAGCATCAGGGCTGTGTTTGACCCGGGGGGGGGGCAGAGCATGGCTAGGGTGGGCATGGCCAGCTTGACGCCCCTTGTATCAGGGGCGCCTATGGTGGCCCAAATGCTCTGCCAGTGAAAACGGGCTCCTGAGCTCCATTTTCAACTGCAACAGCCTCCTGCAACCCTCCTGCAACCCTCTGCCAGTGAAAACAGAGCTTGGGAGAGTGGCATGGAGCCCTTGCAAGCTCCATTTTCGGCTGCGACAGCCTTCTGAAACCCTCTGCCAGCAAATATGGAGCTTCGTTTTCACTGGCAGAGGCACTGCGGGCCAGTCCTTCGCTGTTTCCAGGGTGGCCCCATGGGCCAGATCCGGGCCCCGGGCCTTGAGTTTGACGCCCTTGTCCTATACCTTCCCAAACCTAATTTAAAATCTCACATCATTGAACAAATCTGCACAAAGGTAGTAACGAGGGCTTAATTTACTGAATGCTGAGAAATGAGGGCATCTGTAACAAGTCCAGGCCTAACCCTGAGAAAACAGAAAATTTATGGCCTTGCAGATATTGTTTAAATATAAACCCCACATCTTTAGAGTGGGGCACTCTTGCTGTAGCTATTAGAAGTTGCAATTCACAAACACAGAAGCACAAACCCACCTAGAGAGAGATTCTCCTCTGGCTTTCATAGATCAACCCAACACAAAGACACTGTGCTCAACAGATAAAGAACTTTGCAAACTCAAGAGTTCCAAGACACTGTGACATGGCAGGGAAAGAGCAGTGCCCACATATTGTAACCAGGACCATGCGATTCTCAGCAGCTAAGAACTGGACAGGTACCAGAGATTTATATCGCTAAAGAAATAATGTCAAACCCATTTAGTCCCTAATGCAAATCAGGAAGAGAGGGAAAAGAATGCTGCACACAGAAGTGCTGGGCTCGAATAAGGAAGAAAAGAAACTAGAGTTGGTTCAGGTTTTGTTACCAAATAACTCAAGTTTCAGGATTCACACAACACATGAATCATCAGCATCAAAAAGCAAGGTTTTCACAACACACACACACCCATAACAAAAGCAGGTAATGTTAAACAGGAGCATGAAGGCTGATCAAACTCAGTCAGTTATATAAATTCAGCCATACAGTCTTTAAATAACATGATTAAGTGTGTTGTGTAAACACAGCAATGTTTTCCCTTCTTTTATTTTGGCTTAGCTTCAGTATTGATTTATAAGATTAAAGCCTTTGTGGAGTGGCTTGTATAATGCAGATAGATAAAATAATCACAAGTTCCAGTTAATGACAGCAGAAACATAATTCAGCTGCTGAATCAGTGGGGACACCACTAGGGCAAAAAGGTAAGTTAATTTCCATGGCACACAATTTCCACCTCTCCAGAACCCTCCCACATAGACATCTCTATAACTGCCTGAAAATATCCAGGCACCACGGCCAAGTGGACATTCCCATTCTTCAAACATCCTCCATCTTCTACCCAAATAATCAGAGCTGCCCTTCAAAATTCAGCTGCTTTCTGCTTGCCAACTCACCTCCAGTCTGGGCATCAAAACGCTTGGTGGCAATGGCATCAATTTCATCGATGAAGATAATGGCCGGTGCATTCTCTTTGGCCAGTCGGAAAACATCCCGGACCATGCGTGGCCCTTCACCCAGGTACTTCTGCACGAATTCAGACCCCACAACCCGAATGAAAGCAGCTGGAAAGACATCATGATTCTGGGTTATGCATAGGACTGTGCAGGAGTCTGTGTATATTTATGAAGCGATATACATTTGATATACAAGCTTGTAGATGGTTTCCAGAGTAACCAAATGTGTACTTTCATCAGTTGATCTGTGTGCTATTACGAAGAAGACTAAAAAGGTTTCAGAGAGGTAGCCTATTCTTCTCTACAGAGGAAGAGGATAATACACATTCTAAGATGCCTCCAGATGCATCTCTCGGCTTGTCACCCAGCCAGCCCGGATTGCTGTCCGGCTGTGCTCCGTCCAGTTGTCCTTGTTGATTAGCAACTGTTTTCCCGTCCATGTTGGCTTCTTAAAAGTGCAACACTTAAACCTTGCCCATTTTCAGCTTCAGGCACTAACAAGTACCAAAAAGATTGGCAATAAAACATTAAAATAGCTCAGATAGAAGAGGGGAAAAATACCCAACAGGGGAGGAATCTATACACAACACATGGTAATATAGCCAAAACCATGCTTACCTGTGGTGTGATGGGCCACAGCTTTGGCTAGCATAGTCTTTCCACAGCCAGGGGGCCCGTACATTAACACGCCCCGTGGAGGATCTATACCAATCTATAAAAGAGCCACACAAGGAAGCAACAAGCAATGAAAGAATTAATTTGTGAAGCCATCATGGTTTACTTTTTCCCCAGATTTAATAAAGATGCCCTCAGTTTCAATTGGCTGAAGTAAGGACATCAATACTTCAATATTACATAGCTCTCTGTCAGCGCTAAGATTAAACCTCTGAATCCAGTCAATTATTAACCCTACTGCCCTATTTTGCCTGGCAACAAATAACCAAAACTATAATGGTAGTTATACATTAAGCGAGCCATGTAACTTAGCATTACATGCCTACCGTATTTAAGCATTGTTTTCATTGCTGGTGCATCCAGTGAGCTTTCTGGTTTTATTGCATCTAGCTCTAAATAATGACTGTCCTACTAAGCCATTAACTCATAATGGCTAGGTACACACACTGCGCAAAGCCAAGAGAACTTCACGGCCTAGGACAAAGGGCAAGACTTAGCTAGCTCAGTCAACTACTATATCATCAAGACTGCATGCTTCTTTTGACATATATTTCTTCCTGTCACATAACTGCTAATATCTCAGCTTAAAAAAACACATAACTTGACACTTGAAAATGTTACGTTCTAAGAGATAGGTAATGCGTGAAATATGCTTGTCCATCTCTTCATAACCTGAACAAATCAATTCAGAAGTCATTATGCTTGAGCTAATTGGGAGGAGAGAAATGCCTTATATGAGTTTTGAAGAAGTTTTGAAAAACAGAAATGAGATATAACTATAATAAAAGGACTATTTGTGTCCACTTCTGTTTGCGGACTTTGAGCCCTGAAATTTAGAATACCTGTTTGTAAAGTTCAAAGTGAGTGAGGGGCAGCTCCACAGCTTCTCGAACTTCCTGCTTCTGAATATCCATCCCACCAATGTCAGCATACATCACATCTGGTTTCTGATCTATTTGAAACAAATAGACACTGATAAGCGTTCATTCCAATAACTACCCATCTTTGCCAACAACCCGATTCTATGGTTTATTTGCTCTCAATTCAAGTAATCCTCAACTTACAACCGTTCACTTAGCAACTTTTCAAAGTTGCAACAGACCTCACCAGGGATACTTATGACCCAGTTCCAATAGCCATCTCCCCCACGGCCACATGAGCGCACTTCATGTGCTCAGCAACTATATGATGAGCAGAGGCAACAAAGAGTTTATTAGCCCATTCAGTCTCATATTTTGTATTGGGATGTTTTTATTTTGGCTGTGCACCGCCCTGAGTCCAGTAGGAGAAGGGCAGTATACAAATTTAATAAAATAAATAAATATTTATCTGAAATTTTTGCAGATAAAACGACAATCTGGCAAACAAACACATACACTCCCTGCAGGCAGTGTTTGCATCTCTGGTTAAGAAAAATAGATGAACATCACCTGAAGTCAGCATCATAATACTGCTATCAGCCTCGGGAGGCAACACATCCACCAACGCATTACTGTGTTTGTGTAGGGCCACAGAAGCATTGGGCTTCAGCAGTTCACGGTCAATGGTGCTCAAGATTCGGACGTAGTAGTTAGAGCCTGCATTGGAAACATTTGCAAGATTAGACAGGATCCTAGTTCTACTTCCAAGGAATGGGGAGTACGGAAGATCACTTAGTTAGGCCTATCGCTGATACAGGGCTGTGTCCCTCCCTTCTCTCTGAACAGCAGGGACCATCAAGCTGCAACTTCATGTCTTAGAATACTGCTTTGAGGCATTTGGGGGTGTTGAAATGGCAACCCTTAGACCAGGGGTGTCAAACACGCAGGGCAGATTGGGAAACGGTAAGGGATAGGCACATGCCACCGCATCTCCAGCCCACCCCGGCCACGCCCAGTCCAGCCCTCCAAGGGCAAACAAAATCCTGATACAGCACATGATGGGATCAAGTTTGACATCCCTGCCTTAAACCATCTAATAGAAATCAAAATGGGCCTGTGAGCTATCAGGGAGGCAATTCAAGAAAAGAGAAGTTCTTTCAACTTTCCACAAATCAAGAGCCAGCAAAAAGGATGAGCACTGCACCTGTGGTAGAACCAACAATGGCTGTATTCTGATCCACCGCCTCTAGGAACTGGCCAATGACCAACGGGATGCTCTGGATACGTTTCACCTCCTCCTGAGCATGCAGAAATTCTTTCTTCAGATTTTTCTGCTCATCCTTGATGTATTCTTCCTGGACCTCCAGGAATTCCAGCTCTTGCTGGAGTTTCTACAAAAAGACAAAGAGAAGTGTGGCTTTTGTTGTGCCTGCAAAATTCCCGCTTATAAAATGAAGAAAGGACAAGAGAGGTAAGCAACCAGATCATGACTTCTTGCTGAGTATGTGTACCAAGTAGTATACTCCCCCTACTGAGTAGTATGGGAATTTCAAATACCAGGAAAGTATGGGAAATGTACATTTTGAAATAACCTAATTGTATTCATTACTTTTGAAACAGTGGTTATATTTATTTTTAAAATTAATGGCCATTCACAACTAAGAGTGGAGCTTTATGTTGTAATCTAAAAAAAAAACAGAACATGAGACAAAACTAAAAAGTTGGAAGGAAAGAGCAGGAAAAACAAACGAAAGTACTAGTTAAAGCGTACTTTCTGGCAGTACACTTTTAATGGGGGGGGGAGGGATACGGTGAGAAAACAGTTATTTTCTCTGGTTTTTCCTCCCATAATGCTTTTCTTGGCAGGGAAAGAGAGCAACAAACTCAGTACCCCATTGTTCCGGAAAGCTAATAGCAACAACTAGAGCCACCCGAAGAAAAGATAGCAGACATGAAGAAGGAACTGAAGTGAGACACTTGAATAAAATTCTACAGAGATCTATTCTTTTATATACTTGTGACACCCAGTTTGCTACACTTTATCAACCATACTGTACTAGAAACCAGGAGGCTACAAGTTAATTGGGTGATGTCGGGCTAGTCATTCTCTCTCAGTCCAACCCACTTGATTGGGATGCTGTTATGGGGAAAACAGACAGAAAAAGCACGATGTAGACTGCTTTGAGAGTTGCACAAAATAAATGCAGGATACAAAGTTAATAAATAATTTACTTTCTTCGACACCTTCTGTTCTATGCGTCCAATGCCTTTTGAACACAGACAGTTGTAGACCAGGGGTGTCAAACTGGCGGCCCGCGGGGTGGATGCGTCACACACAGGCCACGCCCACCCCAGCACTGCCAAGGGCAAAAACATTGCGATACGTTACGTGATGGCAACGCGATGCCGCGAGTTTGACACCTGCGTTGTAGACTGACAAATACAAAATGCAAATTAGAAACAATAACGCTCTTCAGCGCTGCTAAGTAGTAGCATGTGACTGAAGATCAGCTCACTTTATATCGGCTATATAGATCCTCGACATCTTCAGCTTCAGGAGCTAGGAAGGAGAGGCCGGTCTGAGGTCTGGAAATAGAGAGAGCAGGAAGCTCATCCTATAAATTAAAACACAGATTAGATATAAATAACTTGGATATAGAATATCCCTGTTTTCTATGTTTCATATAGTATGAATGAATAAGTCCTGGATTTGCACAACATTCTGAGGCCAAAAAATCCCAAAAAAGAAAACCAAAATAGAAGCAAAAAACAAGTTTAACATATACATATTTGATCTTTATCTGACTTATTGAGGTCCGTTGTATGCACTTAAACAGAATGTGTAGTTCATTTAAAGGCCTCAGGCTTATGTTCATTTTGCTGATTAAGACTTAGTTCAAATTTTTGCACAAACAGACATGTAACCAACTTCAACCTTTGTCAAACATTAGGATACATGCCAGAAGAATTGAGTGGGACACTGGCAACACCAACTAACTAGATGTACCTGAAGCAACATCCTTGGAATTCCTTTAAACCCTGACGCCTACTTGGACATAAGCTCCAACAGATAAAGTATTTAGCACTTGTATTAAGTTTGCTCTTATCCCTACGTATAGTACAATCCTTATTTATCACCCAATAGATGGCTTTCTGAAGTCTCAATATGATATTGGCGTAAGCTTCAGTGAAAAAGAGAATAATTTTGCAGAAGATGGTGAAAAATAGGATAAAGTAGTTGGTGTAGGCCTGGAAACCAGTAAACTCTAGTTCTAATCCTTCCTTAGGAACAAAAGCTAGCTTGGGGGGTTGGGGGGGGATTTGGTCCAGTCCCCCTCTCTCAGTAAAGCCCAACTCAAGTGTTGTTGTGGTGAAAATAGAAGGCAGGAATACAGGTAGTTCTCAAGTTACGACCACAATGTTGCTAAGTGAGAAACTTGTTGAGTTTTCCCCCCACCATTTTACGACTTTTCTTGCCACATTTGTTAAGCGAATCACTGCAGCTGTTAAATTAGTCACACGGTTGTTAAGCGAATCTGGCTTCCCGTTGATTTTGCTTGCCAGAAGGTCGCAAAAGGGGATCACATGTCCCTGGGATGCTGTGACCATCATAAATATGAAACCCGTTGTCAAGCATCCAAATGTAAATCACGTGACCACGGGGATGTCGCAACCGTCATAAGTGTGGGAAACAGTCATAAGTCCCTTTTTTCCCCGTGCCCGTGTTACTAAATGAACTGTTGTAAGTCAAGGACTACCTGTCTTAGGTATCTTCAGTCTTGAGTCATATGAAAAAAAGGTAGAATTAGTTTAGTTTAGTTTACTTTGTCATTGCACCTCGTGCAACGAAATTCAATGCCATCTTCTGTGTACATTATAACTATAAAAAATAAAACACAAACACACATCCTTCACATTCTATACTATTGTACTGAAAACCCCTGATATTGCATTAATATTGCACTATACAGTAGAATTCAATATAGTTACTGCCCTGGGATAGAAGCTGTTTTTCAGTCTATTTGTCCTTGTTTTTAATATAATAGAATAAAAATAAGAATAGAATAGAAAATAGAATAGAATCCTTTAAGAATCATAAGGTACAACACTTAATGATAGTCATAGGGTACAAATAAGCAATCAAATTAGGAAACAGTCAATATGAATGTTAAGGATACCAGCAACAAGGTTACAGTCGTAAGTGGGAGGAGATGGGTAATAGGAACGATGAGAAGAGTAGTAGTAATTACTGCAATCAAAACATAAATTAATCAGCTCGCAGTTCCCTATTCTTTAGGGAATCGCTATTGCCTAACTGGTTGGGTTGGCAATATATATAAACCATCAATGCATGTTTGCAGTCAAAATGTAATGTATAGCTTTAATGCTGTATTGCATCATACTGTATTCTGATTGGCTAGCTCTGTAGCCAAGGTATTTAAGAGGAAGCTTGAATCATGGCTTATTTTTTCTTATTACATTATTATTGCTACCTCTGCTCCTCTCTGCCTGTTCTCTCTGCCTGATCACTGATTGATCATTGCTACTTGTTGTTTTTCTACTGTTTTACTGATTGTTTTACTGCTGTACTTGTTCCTGTTTGCAACTCCAAAAAGAACTGTTTTATTGCGTATGACTACAACAACTGGTAAGAAGACTTTGTTCTTGGAATATCCCTGGATTGACAATTTAACTATCTTTGTCTGTGTATGACCTGGATTGTTTATTGGACTTTGCTTTACTTTTTTCCTAAAAGTGAAAGAATATCAGAACTCGGTGTGTCTGTGTAGTTTTTTTTAATTGAAAAGTTTTACAAAAAAGAGAAAATTTCCCCCACTTCCCCCCACCCTCTCCCCCCACTTCCCAGAGCAAAATACAAGGTATTTCATTTAGTCAAACATAAACTAGATTAATCTACTTATCCTCAAGGTACTACCTCCCCCACTGAAACCTTAACTCCACTATCGATAACCAAATACTTCTAATACTAACAGTTATTCATAAGCTGTTTGATATTTTCTTGTCTGATACTTATTTTGAATATAATCAATCCATCTTCTCCATTCCAATACGTATCTTCCTTGCGTGTGGTCCTTCAAGTACAGCTGAGATTTTCGCCATTTCTGCTAGGTTGGTTACTTTCAATGTCCACTCTTCAATAGTAGGCAAAGAGTCTTTCTTCCAATATTGAGCTACCAGCAGCCTAGCTGCTGATATTAAGTTCAAAATCAATTTAGTCTCTAAAACTGTACAGTCTGTAGTTATACCCAATAGAAACAATTGAGGAGTAAATTTTAGGTGTGTCTGTGTATTGACAGCGCTTATTTGTTGTAGAGATGTTTTGTGGAGATGAGGAATTAAGAAAACATCCCAATTAGGGCAGACAGAATCAGTTTAATTATTTTATTGCAATAAAAGGATCAGATAGGTATTGATACCTCAAGATCTGAACCCCGTTATGATCCTGAGACTCCAGTTTTATACAGTTTCAAACAAAGGATCCTTTGAAGTTAGCAGTTCATATGGTCCTATACATTTATCAATTTTAATTGACATTACAGAGTTTATTTGCAAAACAGTCATAATTCTTTTTGTAGATTACTGAAGCATATCTGTTATCTTTTGTTGAAATAACAAAGTGGACATCCCTGTCACTTTAACCTCAAGGTGTAAATCACGTAGACTGTTCTTATCTGTGACAACTGAGAGGCCTTGAAGTAAGCATCCTTGCAAAGGATGTCCTTGTCTGTGTTCTGAATATAATTGCAAGCAATTTCTCTCTTACAATATTAAGAACAAAGAAGGGCCCTTCAGTGACTATCTAACTGGATTCGTGTTTTTATTTATTTTATTTTATTTGTTACCTGTCCCACCATATATTCACAATCACCCTCAGCCGTTTCTCATGTGCACAACCTTGCTACTCAAGGGTTACTCTGCGCATATTCCCTTAACAAGTTCCATCAATCAAAACACGCCTCAAGACACGGCCGAGGAGGAGGAGGAGGAGGAGGAGGAGGGAACCTGCCGGCAGCCGCGGCCTGCTCCCCACCTCACCCCACCCTCACTGCTAGGCCTACCAAGCGGTGACTCTGCATCTTCGCCTCCCTCGTCTTCGTCCCTGGGGCTCCTAGCGCTCCTCCGCCTCCTTCCCAAGCCTCGGAAGCGGGAAAGAAGAAGCCAAACGGCGGGCCACGCCGCCGCTCTCCCCGCGACTTCGCCTCTCCTCCTCCTCCCTCACAGCTCGCTCTCCCTCCCTTCCCTCCGTACCTGAGTTTTCTCCACCGAGATGCCGATCTCCTCCATTTTTAATTCCCCCTCGACCGGAAACCAGGCTGGAGGATCCCGCTTCCGGTTACGCTCCCCGGCCGTGGACACAGAGAGAAAGAGAGAGGCTCACGGGAGTTGTAGTCCGGCCTTTTGGCTTACGTCTCTTTGATGGGCACCTCTCCCGTCGTGGCTGCCGCACGATTAGAATATAGGTAGCCGGGGGGTGGGGGGGAGAACGCCACCGCTAGAGCCCTGCCTTCCAGGATGATTGACGGGTGAAAGAAGCAATGGTCTTCTCCCGGTCGGGATCTCCCGGCTTTCCTATTGGCTCCCTCGGGGCGAGTTCTGGGCCGAAGCGCCGCCTTCGCTTTTTCTTGGTTCTTTTAAGCGCAGGTAGGCGGTTTGGGGTGCCCCAAAGCAGGTAGGGAAGAGCAACCCCCCCCCACCCATCATCATCATCATCATCATCATCATGAGAGGCCATTCTTACCCCCCAGAGAAGAGGGCGAGGGCGGCGGGTCCGGATGGGGATGGAGGGACCGCTGCTTGGCCTTAAGCGGCTCGGTGTCTTGGCTTTGCCCTTCTTCCAAGAGCATCTCGGCTGCTTTCCCGGAGGGCCGGGGGTGTAACGCCCGGAGAGACCCCCGTAAGCGGGGAAGGGGATGAGGGAGCCCGAGGAAAGGAAGGGGCCGATGAAAAACCCACCTGGTGGGCTTCTCCGGGGTTTTGTCTGCAGGGATCGGAGCTGCCCCCCGGGCGGGATCTAAACCCCTAGAGCGCCTCGGTCCCGCCTGCAAGTTTAGCTCCCGGAGGTGGTTCTTGATTTATGGCATTGATGTATGGTGTATGTGCTCCAGGGTATATACAATAATATAATGTCGTGTGCTTGATCTATCTGTCTGTTTGTCTGTCTATCTATCCATCCATTCTATCTATCTATCCATTCTATCTACCTACCTATCATCAATCTATCATCTATGGTACCTATCTATCTACAGTTTCTATCTATCATCTGTCTGTCTATATCTATCTATCTATCTATCTATCTATCTATCCATCCATCCATCCAGGGTATATACAATAATATAATGTTGTGTGCTTGATCTGTCAGTTTGTCTGTCTGTCTATCTATCTATCCATTCATTCTATCTATCCATTCTATCTACCTACCTATCATCAATCTATCATCCATCTATAGTTTCTATCTATCATCTGTCTGTCTATATCTATCTATCTATCTATCTATCTATCTATCTATCTATCTATCTATCTATCTATCTCCAGGGTATATACAATAATATATTGTGTGCTTGATCTACCTATCTACCTATCTATCCATTCTATCTACCTACCTAAGATCAATCTATCATCTATGGTACCTATCTATGGTTTCTATCTATCATCTGTCTGTCTGTCTGACTGACTACCTATGGTATCTATGTATTATCTATCTATCTATCCAGGGTATATACAATAATATATTGTGTGCCCTATCTATCTATCTATCTATCTATCTATCTATCTATCTATCTATCCCAGGGTATATGCAATAATATATGTCGTGTGCTTGATCTATCTATCCATCCATTCATCCATGTATCCTTATATATCTGTCTTTCTATCCAGTATTTATGTATATCTTTATGTATATGTACACACACACGCACACACACAAACTTCAAATCGCTTCAGGCTAAGCATAAAATGATAGCTGTCAACTGTTGGTTTTTACCTTACATTAACTATTAATAACTAAATCAAAACCTAGCTATACTTATTATTTATGCATGGACATAGGCCTGTCTGTGTGTACACAAATTATATTAAATCCAAATTGCTGAAACTAAATAGAAATTTGGCTCTTTAGGTATTGTATGTTTTTGTGTACATGAATCCATGTAACAGATACATAGTTATCTGTTAAAATAACTAAGTCAAAAATTGGCTATACATATGTTACCTCTATTTGTGTATGTGTGTGCGTGCACATAGATACAATCACTGCAAGCAATCGCAAGAATAACTAAATCAAATCCTCTGGAAAGGATACAGTAGCCAAGTCAAAAACTCCTCCCCCCATCTTTCTCTGTCATATGTATACATTGCTAGTCATTGCAAGTTAAACTGTTAAAAGGGTGACTATGTCAAAAATTGGCTGGATATACACTACAGATACATATAAACAATCACTGAGGGTCAAATTATAAAAGGGTTATCTATAAGGCAAACATTGTGTGTCCAAGTAGAGAATAGATTGGATATCATTTGGATTCCTGTTCTGCTGCTTAAAAGGTTCCTTCCATGTGTTTATTTACTATTTTAATATGTTATGTTAATTTTATTCTAGAGAGATCAATCATGTATTGGGTATATCCCTATATAAAGTAAAGGTAAAGGTTCCCCTCGCACATATGTGCTAGTCGTTCCTGATTCTAGGGGGTGGTGCTCATCTCCATTTCAAAGCCAAGGAGCCAGTGCTGTCCAAAGATGCCTCCATGGTCATGTGGCCGGCATGACTAAACACCAAAGGCGCATGGAACACTGTTACCTTCCCACCAAAGGTGGTCCCTGTTTTTCTACTTGCATTTTTTACGTGCTTTCGAACTGTTAGGTTGGCAGAAGCTGGGGCAAGTAACGGGAGCTCACCCCGTTACGTGGCACTAGAGATTCGAACCGCTGAACTGCCAACCTTTCGATTGACAAGCACAGCGTCTTAGCCACTGAACCACCGCGTCCCTTATATCCATATATAGATATGCCTTTAAAATGAATGCAATATGCTTAACCTGATTAGTTATAAACTTGCTATTTCGTTTCCACAACATGTAATGCTTAGATAGGTTTAATCTTCATTCTTTGCACATCAGTGAACCCTAGTTAGGTCAGTTTATGCTTTAATGCATTGGGTAAATCCTCTATCCCACCTTGTAAGCAATGCCCTCAAGGGCAGCTGGATTTCTAGTGAATTACGTGAGCATATCCATGCAATGTTTTTTGCAAGTGAAGTAGTTTGTATTTCTTTTATTCTTGTCCAGACTGTATTCCTGGAAATCATTTAGTTTTTGATTCCAGATAAAAGCATCCAGGTGCTGCCACCTGGTGATTTGGAAAAAGCTTACTGTAATTCAATTTTGCAGACTTGAGGAGAAAAAAAAATAAAATGACAAATCACTTCTGCATTGCTGCAGACAATATATTCAGCAAGTGTTGTGCATGAGAGATCCTTTGCCTTTAGTACTTTAAGACTCAAACTTTAAAACTCTCAACAAAAGAGTTGTTTCAGTAATTAGGGTTAAGTGCGTTGTATACTCAAGCCAGTGTTAACTTCACAATACCACTCTTGGATTGGTTAGGGTGCGAAATAGCAATTCACTCGGTGAACAGTATATTTCACTTTCTTTTTCTGATTGTGATAAAAACAATAGTGCTGCTATATATCTGAGAATATATTTTGTGGGACAAATCTGAATTTGTTTTCATGAAAATATGCAAGAGGACTGAAATTGCTTAAGTTTGGAACTGGCTGTTAAAATGCACATTTGAGGAATGAATGTGCATTTTAACAGCCCAGTTCCAAATTTATAATAAATTTTATGTCACAGTTAAGCAAACAGGCAGTAGGATCATACTGCCATTCTATGCAGATGTCCACAGAGATAAAGCTGATTAAAAGCAGGATCTATTTATAGTATTGGACTAGGAGACAATATTTTAGAACAGAAGATAAAATCATTCATTTTTTAAAAGTAATAAATAATCTAGTGCCTACTGACTTTTTTTACTCATGATCTGCTGGATTGTGTGTTTTCTAATCTGTTCACCTGTTCAGATGTTATGATGTTCTAGAATAAAAACAAGTAATCTCCTGTTATGGAAGCAGCTTTAGTTCCGTTATATTGAGGGGGACTTGTATACAAAAAATTACTTATTTTTCTAACCAAATGCAAGCCTTGTGCATCACACAAGCTGAAAATGGAAGTAGACATGCCTGGAAAAAAACATCACTTATTCTTGGAATGGTCATCTCAGATCTCTGCAAGAAATAGAAATAGAAATGGATTAATTTAATCAATTAATTTTGCAGGTTTGCAATTACCTGCAGGTTTGCAATTAATTGATTTTGGAGGTTCCCTGCGGTTACTGTTCAAATGCTACAATATTGTATGACAAGCTGAGACGGAACTACTCTGTAGTTCGTCTGTTGAGCTTGCTTGTATCTTGATCTCTTTTCTTTCGACCTGGCTTGCTTCACAGAACTGATGTGAGGCAAGCGGAGAAAACATTAAACTTGCACTGGGGCGCTTGGGAGAAATGTGTGATATAAATATTTAGTCACTTTTTTTTGGCACGAACTTCCAGGATTTTTCCAGACTTGACCAAACCGTCTCCTTCAATAAACAGAGGAGATAACTAAAGTTAGTTAAAAAGAGAGAGAGGTTTTATACAGTATAAAAGATCCAATATTTTCTGAATTAAACATTGGCTTTTGAAACCTGACTTTTCTTCCACAGGAGATGCAGTATTCTGCCTTCTTTCGTGAGCTGTAACTTAATACCTCTGCACCCGATACAAGTGGGAAGATGTAGCTATTATGGCTGTTCAGCGTTTAGATTCCCAGATTTTGAAGTTTCATAATCTACACTCTCTGCATAAATGACATATGGAGGAGAATCGAGGATCGTCTACAAGGCCATTCCAGCACAGAAATTGGGAATTCTGAAATTCAGACCTTTTACATGTCCTTCCTTGTATCTGTGTTGCTTGCGTTTGGACTTCGGTGGGCCTGATCTCTGCTGCGTAACCTGCCAACGAGACATTTCAGGTTTTCCTTGGTAGAAATGAGGCGGGATAGACCACAAGAACGGGCAGCTAGCTGGCCAGCAGAGCATATCAAGGTGCTCCTTGCCCTCTGGACCGAGGCAGCGGTCACTCATGACCTTAGCTCCCACGGGAGGAACCGTGCAGTCTATGATGGCATTTCTCAGCGTCTTGCCGAAATGGGCATTTATCGGACTGGGGACCAATGCCGCGAAAAAATGAAAGGCTTGAAAGTGGCTTACCGCAAGGCTAAGGAAAATAACTCCGTGGGGCGGCCACCTATCAAATGTCCCTTCTATGATGAAATTGACCAGATAATGACACAGTATATAAACTGCAGGCCTGGTTTTCCCTCTGAGGCTGGCGAAGGGCCCAGTGTTACTGCAGACAGACAGGAAGGCCTCTCCATCTCTGAGCCCTGGGGGACCCAATCCAGCATCTCTGAGCGTTGGGCGTCCCAGGCCTCTGGGCATTGGCTGTCCCAGACTGCTGCCTCGGAAAGCCAAGGGACCGATGAATTCAGCTACACCCAGGCAGAGACTCATGATGCTTTTGGCGAGATCCAAGTCATCCCAGTTCAGGTGAAGGAAGAGGAATCGGAAGATGAAATCTCACCTGAGCTGGGTAAACACCTTGTTCATTTCTCCTGGGGAATGTTGTCAGTGCAAATCCTCTGGAAGGATACCTAAGGATGGGCAGGGGGGAAGTTATCTCGGAATATTCTATTAATCATTTTATGAAATATTTAGGTCTTTGGTTTCATAACTTTATTGGACTTTTGGTTTAAATGTTTAAATGCACTCCACTAGAAACACAACTTTCTGTTTCTGGAAATGCATATAACTCTCTATAGCAGGCCAACTTCCACTGGTTGTTTTTAATTTATTTATATACTCAGAAGGACAACATCATAGGGTAACTTTCAGACCTTTTTTTTTAGCCTACAGTCACAGGTGGTGCATGCATGCATATCGTTTTATTACTTTCTTGCCCTTTGAATCATTGGCCATTGGATATTGACCATCAGATCTTATGAATCATTCTGACCCTATTGGTGATGTTGCACTGCTTTGAAAAAAAACAAACATACATACATACATACATACATACATACATACATACATACTATATAAAGTGTTTTTCTATCGAGGCACCTGGTCTACCCCAGCATGTTGGAGGGAGCATACTGCATCCTTTTTGCCTTTCAGCTCCAATCCAGGAGCCTTCAAGCAGTCGCATTCACGACAAACCATTTTATACCAAATTTATATTTCGCTGATAAAGAAATAAAGGGAGACTAGTATAGATCTATTTAGGGGTAGACCAGGTGTCTCGATAGAAAAACTCTTAATCTCTCCCCTGGCTCAAGCTGATGAAGGGAGGAGAACTTGTGGCTCAGAGGTTAATACAACTGCCTAACATGCAGGCAGCCCAAGTTCGAATCCAAGTAAGGGTATGGCTAGCTTATGAGACCTAAAAAACATAAGCCCTCCCTGAAAATATTTAAATGCAGAACTGGAAATCAGGTAAGACGGCAACGGAAGCCCTATCTTGCTCCACACGCCCCAAAATAATAACACCTCCCCGAAAATAAGGCCAAGCACTTATTTCAGGGTTCAGAAAAATATAAGACAGGGTCTTATTTTCGGGGGAAAATGGGTATATATATATATATATATATATATATATATATATATATATATATATATATATATATTTATATTTATATTTATATTTATATTTATATTTATATTTATATTTATATATATATATGGCTGTTCCCTGTTCCTTACTTTATAGATGTGGCCTCTCCTATGCTAATGGAGATCCAACCTCCACCCAGGCAGCTCATCTCCATGCTTGACCAACGTCCCCATCTTCGAACTCGGAAACAAAAAGTTCAGGGGGATGGGCCGCCGAGGGGCGCTGGCCAGAAGTGCGTTCGTTCACATCAGCCGGAGCTGCAGAGGATGCAGAAACAGCTGGCCCTCCAAGCTGAGGAAAAACAGAGTTTAGCGGAGTTCATCCAGCACGACAAGGAGATGCGGCGTGAGGATAGGGAGTTCCAAGCCCAGCTCTTTGAGAAACTTTTTCAGAAGCAAACCGAGCTTGTCCAGGTGCTAACTCAGCGGTCTCCTGCCAGCCCTAGCTCTCCTGACTGCGCTAATCCGTTGCAGGTCTTGCAGATGTCCACAAAGAACGGAGCAGGAACCGCTGCGGGGCCTAGCTCAGCCCTACAGGCTTTATTAGAGCAGATGATGCAGTCCGACCTACCAGGGAAGAGTCTAAACAGGCTTGCAGTGAAAGAAGCACTCGGAGGAAGAGTGAAGGTGCCTCCTGAAGTGCAGTATTGGACTGCCGAAGAGATACTGAGGTGGCTCTTGTCTCAGCAGCCTCCTGCAGACCACTGTCAGGAGATGCTGTCGGGCCCAAGGCTTCCTTTCATTGCGGGGCACCTGGCAGCGACAGGGAAAGGTGATACCTCAGAGGCACATCTCTCCGTTTTGAATCCATTATGCGATTCGTACCCGAGTTCTCAGCAGCAGGGTAGAGACCAGCTCCACAGCAAGGCCCAACATCTGTGCTCCAGCAATGGCGCTAAAGTACTTGAAACAGACGTAGACTTAGAAACCCGCCGGCAGTCTTTCAGGCAGTTCCATTATCAGGAGGCCCAGGGACCCCAAGAAGCATACAGGTGTCTGTGGCGGCTTTCCCACCAGTGGTTGAGGCCAGAGGCGCGTAGCAAAGAGCAAATTATGGAGCTGCTAGTGGTCGAGCAGTTCCTGAACATACTCCCTGAAGAGATCCAGACCTTGGTACGCGAATGCCAGCCAGAAAACGGCAAGGAAGCTGTGGCCCTGGCCGAGAGATTCCAGCTCCATTTCGAGTCCAAGAGGCAACGGGACCAAGTAAGATCACGCTGAGAGGGATTTCTACTTTGGGGTTTGGAGACGGCATAAAGGAGCAAGGAAATGAAAAAAGTATTTCCCCTCCCCCAGACACATTTCTCTTTTTGACCGAGAGACTTTATATGTGGAATCTCGGAATTACTGTTGTTATTAGAATAGAATAGATAGAATAGAATTCTTTATTGGCCAAGTGTGATTGGACACACAAGGAATTTGTCTATTAGCAAAAGTTTGTCATTTTTCAGTTGAAGGTGAGCTTTAAAGCAGTGGTGAAATTCAATTTTTTTTTTACTACCAGTTCTGTGGGCGTGGCTTGTTGGGCATGGCAGGGGAAGGATACTGCAAAATCTCCATTCCCTCCCCACTCCTGAGGGAAGGATATTGCAAAATCTCCATTCCTACCCTACTCTGGGGTCAGCCAAAGGTGGTATTTGCCGGTTCTCCGAACTACTCAAAATTTCCACTACCGGTTCTCCAGAGCCTGTCAGAACCTGCTGGATTTCACCCCTGCTTTAAAGACAATGGAACAATAAGATGCACTGCAGGAAGAGGCAGATTCCTTTTCCTCAAAGACACACTTCCAATTTGCTTGAGCCTTTCTGCTTTGGTAGAAGCTGAATGGCTACTCAAAATTTCCTAGACAGTAGAAAATGAATCTGCTTTTTTTAAAAAAAAAAACATTAAAATTCTTATGGGTATAAATTGTCAGATTCTGACTAATATTTTCATGTGACTGCAGCAGGATTCAGTTTTGAAGGATATTTAGGATGAGGCAACCAAACAGCAAGTTCAAAATGCTTGTATTTATTCTTAGCTCACAAATGATAGGGTTAGGTTAGGTTAGGGTTTTTGACATCTTTGGTGTGTGGAACTGAGGGCCCCTTTTTTACTTTAAAAGAAGTGATAAATACAAGAGTGGCATTCTTATTTTTCAGGTACGTGTTACCTCAGATAACATGGTTGTCGATTCCCCTCGAGAAGACTTGAATGAAGATCAGAGACAACCCTGCATAAAAGACAATCGAGAAAATCCTAGGAAGGTTGGCTTACTAGGTAAGAATTTGCTTCTTAGGTGCGTTGAATCTTTGATGTGACAGATTTGTTTCTTTGCCTTTCGAGGGTTGTTTTCGTTTGTTTTAGTACATATCCACTTAGATTCCCCCCGCCCTTCCCTTTCTGTTTATACTTGCATGCCATAAGCAGATTTACCCACTCTTAACTCCCTCTATCCTGTCTGGACAATTTCTGTCATGCCAAAGGCGCACGGAACGCTGTTACCTTCCCACCAAAGGTGGTCCCTCTTTTTCTACTTGCATTTTTTACGTGCTTTCGAATTGCTAGGTTCGCAGAAGCTGGGACAAGTAACAGGAGCTCACCCCATTATGCGGCACTAGGGATGCGAACTGCTGAACTGCCAACCTTTCGATCGACAAGCTCAGCATCTTAGCCACCGAGCCACCACGTCCCACTTCTTAGCATAGAGACTAGCAAATTATCAAAACCTCTTCGAAAGAAAAACTGGTCAAGGAAGTGATGGGGATCATCAAGATGGCAAGGAAGTGAAGTGTTTGCTGAAGAGAGATGTTACAGGCCTCCCAAGTTCAGCTTAGGGTCCTCATTCACACGTCACAGCTGGTTGACTTCACTTGATTGTATATTTGTAAAGACACTTTGAATGGTAATTCTGAGATCGATGCCAAGATTGGGTGGGATCAAAAAGGCATTTAGTTGGATTCTCAACTGCTCAGGAAAGCTTCCTTAAATCTAAGCCACTTCTGGAGGTTTAGGGGATAGTATAGAGTGATGTATAGAGAGACTCAGTGGCTAAGACGCTGAGCTTGTCGATCAAAAGGTCGGCAGTTCAGCAGTTTGAATCCCTAGTGCCGCGTAATGGGTGAGCTCCCGTTCCTTGTCCCAGCTTCTGCCAACCTAGCAATTGAAAGCACGTAAAAAACAAGTAGAAAAAGAGGGACCACCTTTGGTGGGAAGGTAACAGCGTTCTGTGCACCTTTGGCATTTAGTCATGCCGGCCACATGACCATGGAGACATCTTCGGACAGCGCTGGCTCTTCGGCTTAGAAACGGAGATGAGCACTGCCCTAGAGTCGGGAACGACTAGCACATATGTGCGAGGGGAACCTTTACCTTACAGAGAGAAGACAACAAACAGAACTTTAAATGATTTCAAATTCAGATTACTTTACAAGCATGTGCATAAGCTCTTTTAAGGAATTCCATATTGGGTTACCCTTTAGCAAGTCAACCTATCTTGATTTCTTAAGGATGTCTTCAGTTTATCTGTAAAAGAGGAATAATTGTGATCCCTCTCGAAGTTTTTTATGAAAGGAAGGCTACCAAGCACCTTTCATATTCTAAATATTCATACTTGAAGCTAAAACAAAAGCCTGTTGAGTAAGGGAGCATATACTCTCTTAAGAAGCGAGTGGAATCCCACCATCTATGGGCCTGGAACCCAAGTCTTATTATTCCCAGCCTAGGGCCTTAACCACGAGCCCATCTGTTATTTTTGTATCTTGGCAGGTCTCTCAAGATAAACTTATTCTCCATCTTCAGGTACAGAAACGCATCTCCAGCTGAGGAAGAGAGCCAGATCAGATCCGAGGGAGCAGATTGTGCCCAAACAGGATGGAGAACACGGTGTGGCGGCAGCAGCCAAACAGATGAAGTTGAACAATAGCATAGAAGAGCAAGAAATGGCTGAAACTAGAAAGAAAGCGAAAGAGACACCTACCTCCGGGCCAGGGAAGCAAGCTGGGAAAGCCAAAGGGCGGGGAAGATCTGTTCCCAGTTATAACGTGGCTGGGGAAAACCAGGCGGAGGGGGAAGCTAAGATGAAAGGCAGCGGCCGAGTTTCAGAAGCTGTGAATGGGATTCTGCACGAGCAGAAAGCATCGGCTAGTCTTGGGTCGTCTCAGCTGGCTTTTGACAAGGATGCAACCGTCGCCAGCCCCCAACCTGGCCACGATGGTCACGGGTCTCCTGACATAGACAGACCTTCATTTAGTGACAGCATTGACATTTTACTGGATTCTCCCTGGAGTGGAAATGGCAGTGGTGACACAGCCCAAGACGGGGGGGCCGGTTCCAGGATGCTACCCCCCTGTGTGGGCTGTACCATGTTGAAGGCTGAGTTGGATACAATCCGTGAGGAGCTCCGATTAACCCAAGGTAACACTGGGAGCATAAACATGGAGGGCCTCTTCACCAGGGTGACATCAATTTCCTTTTCGTCCTTCATGTGATACTTGCGAGAATTTGTCTCTTGCCAGTATACTTATATGACTGCCTTGCCATTGGTTCCGTTTAATATTTGTTTATTGCTGAACGCAACACAGTACATAAATCACTTAGATCTTTCCCAGAGTAATTGCTCGGCTGTTAATCAAGTCTGCTTGTCATAGCAGTGGTGAAATTCAAATTTTTTTACTACCGGTTCTGTGGGCATGGCTTGGTGGATGCGGTGTGGCTGGGTGGGCGTGGCAGGGGAAGGATACTGCAAAATCTCCATTCCCACCCCACTCCAGGGGAAGGATACTGGAAAATCCTCATTCCCTCCCCACTCCTGGGAGAGGATATTGTAAAATCTCCATTCCCACCTCTGGCTGACCCCCGAGTGGTATTTGCTGGTTCTCCGAACTACTCAAAATTTCCGCTACCAGTTCTCCAAAACCTGTCAGAACCTACTGGATTTCACCCCTGCCCCATAGCCATTCTCACTTTTTATTTTGTCATAATATGAGAGCACTCATCAGGAAAGTGTAGTGCTGGTATTCAGTAGGGAATTCTTAACTGGCATTCTAGCTAGAAGCAGCATTAAATAAGTATTTCATTTAGAAAGGTAGGATATCAGTGAATAAATAAGAATTAAAATGAACACAGCCTAAAGACACCAGTAAAGAACTTAATGAAGGGACTAAGGATGGAATTAGAATTGGCAGCAAATACTTGATTTGAAAAATTGATCCATAATATCGGGACTGATTTATAAAGTAAACTAAGGTGAAAAGACATGTCTTGAGGTATTTATTAAGATGGCAAGAACGAAGGTGTCAACTTGCTAAGAAGCTTTTCTGGGGTTTTTTGGCAGCATTTTGTGTTACTTATTTTCTGTTTGTTGTTGTTCGTTTATATGCAGCTTCTACACTGTATGGGTTGAGCGGCACCTCTTTGCAGGACCTATCAGAGGCTCTTGGCACTGTTGTACGGGTCCTGAACGACACAAAATCTTTGCCAGGAACAAACATACCCCAGAACATTGCTGAAATCCCTAGTAGGCCAGTATGGCGAGAAAGAAATGTAAGTCTCCCCCTTTGCTATTTTTTGTGTGTAAGGCATGTTTTCTTTCATATTCCTTAGGTCCATAGAGTAAGTCATCTATGTACCAAGTTTGGTTGAAATTGCTCGAGGCATTCCAGAGTTATGCTGGAACATACATACACACAAAGAGAGAGCGCCATTTATATATGTATAGAAGATTGTGTTCATTCTCTGAATAGAATATAAAATACTTAAAACGTTTTCATGCAATACTAATTGTGTTTTATCTTTCCTATAGCATCTCTGAATCCTTGCATGGGCCGAATGTACCCCCCCAAATCAAGAAATTCAGCAGCAATATTAGAAGCGCCTGATTGAAAAGGAAAGTGAAAAGCACCCTTTGCTCTTGATTGCCTGAGACTTACAACTATCCCTGCCCGTGATTCCTTATCCCTTCCCCCATCCTGTTGGATTACTTAGACTACAGCAGGCTCTGATCCAGATGCCCTTTCCCTGCTATGGTGCAAATGTTGTCAATTCCTTTACCTTTTTACCGTTACCCTTTGTTTTTGTTTTTGTTTTTATACTGTAGTAATCTCTTTCTTCCCTTTCCTGCTTGAGTTTAAATAAAGCAACTGGGAATGATTCACTGTACCCTTGATGGGCAATAAATAGCATGTGCACTGACCCAATTAGCATAGAAGTCTGCAAAGAGAAAGCCTCCTTTCAATCCACAAGGAATCAGAGCTCCTGTTTTGGAAAGCAAGCAATGGTTTTGGAAAGAATTGTTAGCCCAGATACAGGCCTCGAGGTAGTCTAGATCCAGCCTGCTTTCATGATGAACATTATATTCTCTCTTAATATATTCACAAGTACAATGATTACAGATGTTGACAGACTCCCAACATCAGCTGTATAAAGTGAACAGAGTGTTGATCGGCACAAGAAGAATATTATCATTGTATACAAAACAGGAACTTTTTTGATTATGTTACCGTAGTAAGAAATTTAAACTTTTGTTCTAAAGAACTTTGAATGTTTGACACTGGAGAGAATGGAAAAGATAAACTAAGGGAAACTTAATAATCTCTCCCTCTCCCTCCTTTTCTCTCTTTCTCTCTCTCTCTCTCTCTCTCTCACACACACACACATGTATAGAGGTAGTCTTTGACTTATAACCACGGGTGAAATCCAGCAGGTTCTGACAGGTTCTGGAGAACCAGTAGCGGAGTAGTTCAGAGAACTAACAAATATCCTCTGGCTGGCCCCAGAGTGGGGGGAGAATGGAGATTTTGCAGTATCCTTCCCCTGCCATGCCCACCAAGCCACACCACGTCCACAGAACCGGTAGTAAAAAAATTTGGATTTCACCACTGCTTATAACCATTTGTTTAGTGACTGACTGAAGTTACAATTGCATTGAAAAAAGTGACTTGGGATGAATCCTCACATGTAACAACCATCACAGCTTTCCTATGGTTATCAAAAGTTGGGTAACCTTGGCAACCGGCATGTATTTATGGCTGTCCCAATGTCCTGGGATCATGTGATCACCATTTGTGACCTTCCCAGCCAGCTTCCAACAAGCAAAGTGAATTCAATTCACTATGATCAAAGAAGTTAATCACTGTTAGTATGCTCAGAACAAATGCTACTACTTTATATATTTTATGCCAGATTAGATCATTTGATTTTTGGCCCCAAAGAATCTCCTCATATTCAGTTATTGGGAGTATCAAATGTGTGTGTGGTGGGGGGGTTCCTACCCTGCAATTTAACATCTTCAAGTTGAGGCAGGGGGAAGAGAAGAAGCAGGGATGAAGTTGAAATCAATTAGTGTCCTCTTATTCAAAACTGTCCAAAAGATAAATGAAAATGTATTAACCAGTAGTTCTAAAGAGGTTTGCCGCAATTAAAGCAACATTAGTTAATCTATTTTAAAAAAATCACAATTCACACAGCTCCGAGATCTACTTGAAACTTAAGCACCATGGTCAACGGAGTCTTCTCTTCACATAAAAAAGACAGTAGTGTCTTCAATATTCTTATTGCAGCACAAGATTTGTGGGGCATTCTATCAAGGGTGGGATGTGGTGGCTCAGTGGCTAAGATGCTGAGCTTGTCGATCGAAAGTTCGGCAGTTCAGCAGTTCGAATCCCTAGTGCCGCGTAACGGGGTGAGCTCCGTTCCTTGTCCCAGCTTCTGCCAACCTAGCAATTTGAAAGCACGTAAAAAATGCAAGTAGAAAAAATAGGGACCATCTTTGGTGGGAAGGTAAAAGCGTTCCATGTGCCTTAGGCGTTTAGTCATGCCAGCCACATGACCACGGAGACGTCTTTGGACAGCGCTGGCTCTTCGGCTTTGAAACAGAGATGAGCACCGCCCCCTAGAGCCGGGAACGACTAGCACATATGCAGAGGGAAACCTTTACCTATCAAGGAACGAGTTCTGTAAAACGTTTTGGCAATTGACCTTTTAGGCAAAACTAATCCCTCTCCTTTTCAGGTTTGATTTGACAACCAATTTAATCAATCCCCCAAAGCTGACTGTATAAAATATACAAAAGTATGAAGGCTATTGCTTAACGCATTGTAAGCCGCCCCGAGTCTCCGGAGAAGGGCGGCATATAAATCAAATAAAAAAAAAATAGAATAAGATTAGAGTAAGAATAGGAATAGAATAGAATAGGAATAGGAATAGAATAAAATAAGAGTGGAGTAAGAATAGAATAGAAAGAATCGAATAAGAATAGAATAGAATGAATAGAATAGAATAGAATAGAATAGAGAATAGAATAGAATAGGAGGTCTGCGTGAGGGGGTTGGACTAGATGACCTCCAAAGACCCTTCCAACTCTTGTTACTGTTACTGTTAGAATAGAATAGAATAGAATAGAATAGAATAGAATAGAATAGAATAGAATAGAATAGAATAGAACAGTTGGAAGGGACCTTGGAGGTCTTTTAATCCAACCTTTGTTTTTTGTTTTAAACTTGTCGCCTAACGCGGCTGCCTATGAAAATACGCCACCATTTCGCCCTACGGCTGATCATCCTCGGAAGCGGTTTCTCAATGACGCGCCCAACTATTCCCAATTGGGGAGGGGGGGCGCTCTTCTATATGTTTATAGCTCTACTTTCTCCCGCTCTAAACCGTCAACCGTCCCTCGGGACCGGGCCGGAAGCCATCGGGCGAACTTCCGGGGGCGGGTTCAAGCGGCTAAAAGCGGGCCTGGCCTGGACGCAGGTAGGTAGGTAGGCAGGCGATGATGTCCGCTCTTCTCTCCTCGGTTGAGGGACGGTTGGAAGGGGTGAGGTGGGGCAGCCGCGCTCGGCTCCTCAGGGCCCGCCAGGAGGGAGGCGGCGCTCCTGGGAGAGAGAAAAGGCCCTTCGCCCGCCTCCCGCCGCGCGAGGAGCCGGGATGCTGATAAAGCCCCCGCGGAACGAAACGCCTCAGGAACGAAAGAGCGGGGGGGAGGGGGGAGGGGGGAGAGAGACAAAGAGGCCACCCGGCCCAGCCGAAGGTTTCAGGCCGAAGCGTCGCTTGCTTTGCCTCTCCCGCCTTCGCTTCTTATGCCAATTTTCGCCGCCTTTTCTCTCCCCGCGCGGCCCTGGCGAGCTTCGAGAAAGGGAAAGCGGGTCTGCGCCCCATCCTGTGGCGGGAAGCAAAAGTTTTCCCTACCCTGCCGGCTCGGCGTTTAGCATGGCGGGGAATGGGGAAGAAATAGCAGGAACAGTAAGAGTTGGAAGGGACCTTGGAGGCCATCTAGTCCAACCCCCCCTCCCCTTGCTCACGCAGGAGACCCTGTACTAGGGATTCGAACCGCCGACCTTTCTGGTTGAGGAGCTCGGCGTCTTAGCCAACTGAGCCGCCTAGTCAGAAATCCTTTTGGATCTCAAGGCTGCGAAGTGTTTCTAAGGAAAACGTCTGGCCTTGTGAAGGGGGGGGGGGAAAGGTTTCCCCCCAAAAATTGGGGGGGCCGTTTTCTCCTTTCGCACCCGGCTCTCTCTCCCCCCCCCACAACTTTTAAACTTTGCTGTTATTTATTTCAGTACAGGTGGTCCTCGACTTACAACAGTTCGTTAAATTAATTAATTAATTAATTAATAAAATTTGTATGCCGCCCTATCTCCAAGGACTCAGGGCGGCTCACAACGACAATCGACCAAGCGACGGTTAAAAACAACAAATATACACAAAAAAATAAAAAAAAATTAAAATATACTACCCCATCAGTCCAGGCCGGGGGACATAAATAGCCAGGTCTTCAATTCACGGCGGAAGATGCGAAGGTCAGGAGCCAACCGGAGCCCCAAGGGAAGTTGATTCCAAAGGGTGGGGCCGCTCACAGAGAGGGGTCTACCCCTGGGGGGTCACCAGCCAACATTGTCTAGCAGATGGCACCCTGAGTAGGCCCTCTCTGTGAGAGCGCACCGGGTGATGGGAAGTTGACGTTGGTTGCAGGTGGTCCGACAAATAGCCTGGGCCTAAGTTTAGTGACTGTTCAAAGCAGGATGGATTTGATTTAAATCAAGTCGATTTAAATCATAATTTTTAAAGAGCAGCGGCTTCTCCTCCTGACCCGCTGTTGACTCACGGACAGTCCCAATATTGCAGAATATACAGCCTCATGCCACATCACTGAGCTCCATTTCTCCATGCTGAATAAACTAAATTATTAATGTGTCTTAAATAGAAAACTATCTTTAGGTAGATTTTTACTCCAAAGACCTTTTATTAAAATAAGTTTGATAAAAAAATTTAAAAATCCAATTTAAATCTTAAAAATCTTTTTTTTGTTTTTTGTTTAAAAGCATCGATTTTTATCCACCTTGTTTCAAAGTTACATCCGCACTGAAAAAAAGGTGACCTATTTTTTTTCACAGTTATGACCTTTGACCTTTGATCATTATGGTCAAAATTCAGATGCTTGCCCACTGGTTCATACTTATGAGCGTTGCAGCATCTCCTAGGGTCATGTGATCAACATTTGCAACCTTGTGACCAATGGGGGAGCCAGATTCACTTGACAACCAGGTTACTCACTTATCAAGTGCAAGGATTCACAATAACGGTGGTGAGAAATGTGGTAAAATAGAGCAAAATTTACTTAAGAAATGTCTCACTTATCACAGAAGTGTTGGGCTCAATTGTGGTCATAAGTGGAGGATTACCTGTACTGTAACTTGGGAGTCTTAAGGATATGCTGCTTTGGGAAGTTTTTGAATTCTTGGAGAAATTCAACAAAATATTATTGGGATTTTTAAACAAATATTGCAGAACAAAAATGCAGCCATTCTGCAAAGAGCATGTTATGTGGAGCTATGTTTATTCCACTATCTGATGAAAGGCCTGTTAACATAAAATTATATGATTGTGCATACTTATAATTTCCCCATTTTGGTACCTAGTTGGCCTCTGGAGAATTGGATGTTTTGTAAAGTGACAAGGAAAGAAGTCGCATTGGTTGGCATTTGTTCCCAAGTGTGTGATTACATGTTGCTTTGCTTTTTAAAATACAGAGTAAAGGGAGGCTGATACAGTGAAGCAGCAGTAATCCACACCAGTGAAAAAAATGTAAGTACCTGCAAAGAAGGCTAGCCTGTTTTCAGCACAGTTTTACAGTGTCTAGACTGTAATTGTACACCTAACACAATTACCACACAGAATATTTGTCTTCTTTAGCAACAATTATTCAAAGCTCTCTTCATTATTTCCTCTTCTGTTCCTCATTAACATTTTAACTAGTAGTGCTAGGAGTTCCTGGGGTCCACATCTTTCCTTGGGTACCTGTTGTCCACACTTCTGAGCTGGGTTCTGCTCATTTTTTTTAATGAATGTCTACACAGAAGCCTTTAGAGTTAATCTTGAATTTTTACCACAATTTTTCTTTTTGACATCTCTTATTATAGCACTTTCCCAGGGAAAAAGAAAAGCTGCAACGCCTGTGGGCAGCCACTGAAGAATGGCCAATGAGATTCAAGAACCATTCCTGGATAGCTCCTGTTCTGGCCCTGCGGAAGATAGGGAATCGGAGGGTGGCATTGTGATTAAACATCAGGACTCAGATAGCGATCAGAGCGAGCCTAAGGTGGTTGCCAAATGTTTGGGTGGGGATGCTGAACCTTTGGAAATGCCAGCACAGCCTGCTGATCCATGCCAGGTCACAAAAATGAAAGTGAAACATGAAGAGGAGCCAAAGACTGAGGCAGTCTTGGTGCCTCCTCCTGTGGAGGTAGCTGTCTCTGTTCCAGTGCCACCCTTGAACAAAGGAAAGGGAGCAAAACGGATGATGGAAGATGATGCTGAAGCTTTTAAAGAAATGCCTGATGTGTGCCAGGAAGCCAGAGGGCCAAGAAAGGCTATGCTGCTGCCTGACCTCTTTGGGGAAGCCCAGGAAGCACACAGCAGTTTGGATGTCAGCCGAGCGGGAGGCTGCACAAAGGTGGAACAGGCTATTCCATGCTTGCCTAACATGGCCTCAGAAAATCAGCGCAAACGCTTTCGGGGTTTTGCCTATAAAGAGACTGAAGGTCCCCAAGTGGCTTATGAGCGGCTCCAGGAGTTGTTGTTCCAATGGTTGAATCCAGAGGCCCACAGCAAAGAGGAAATCGTTGAGCAGCTAGTCCTCGAGCAGTTCCTGAACCTCCTCCCTGAGGATGTCCAGAAATGGGTCCGGGAGCGTCATCCAGAAAATGGGGATGAAGCTGTCGCCCTGGCAGAAGATTACCAGTTTCTGCATCCTGAGCCTGGACGGCAGCCCTATCCAGAGAGAGCAAGGCAGCGGTCTTCAGCAAGAAGTTGGCTGCGCTGAAGTCTCAGGAACAGGCAGGCAGGAAGGGCTATTTGTAAGGGAAGGGACCCTTAGGGGTAGAAAGTCTGGTCGGTTGATGGCTACTCTGCTCAGAGCTTTGCTACTGCTCAAAGCTAAAGAGACATGATGATTTCGGGCAGCTATTGTATTCCTTGTACACCAAGTTCCGGTTGATGCTTTGCATGACAATAAAAGGCTGATCTATTCCAAAATTTACTTCCTCATATTCAGCTTTTCCTTGTAGATTGCCTTTTTTTCACCATGAATTATTGAAACAAAAAGACCACCAATAATGTCACAAATCTGTTGTGGTTTTCAAAATCTGAGATTCTCGGAAGCATTCGTAGACTTCTGTAACAGGTCTTGGACTGTGGTTTCAACCATCGTTTAGCCTATATTGGGTAAACAATGTAGAAGAATCTGGCATTGGTTAGACAGTTGTCTTATCGGCAGGAGTTGCCTCTTTAAACAAGCAGATGGGGTTGACTTGATCACTAGTCTGCCTCTGGTGCCAGATTTGGGGAAGGGAGATGCACAACATTTTTGCAGTAAAGGATAGCATTTGAGTGCTGAGGGACACTTTTCAAAAAAGGGGCCAGGATTAAAAATTGTAAATTAATATGGTTCTTCCCCATGTCACTAAATAACTGGCAACCAGGAATGGCTTTTAGCAATAGCACTTACATACTACTTTACAGTGCTTTATGGCCCTCTAAGCGGTTTACAGAGTCAGCATATTGCCCCCAACAATCTGGATCTTCATTTTACCGACCTGGGAAGGATGGAAGGATTAGGGTTAGCCTTGAGCCAATCAGGATCGAACTCCAGTCTGTGGGCAGAGTTAGCCTGCAATACAGCATTCAAACCACTGTATCGCCATGACTCACATACAGCCTTGAAATCTCTGGTTGTACACCATTACATTAAAGGGTAGCCTATGGTTAAATATTCTGTTATTTCCTTTGTGTTTACCCCTCAAGTTGTTTCTTCCCTCCGCCATCCAATACCTTAGTGGGACATCATCTAAAAATCCCACATGAGACCAGAAATGAAAGCTTTACAGGCGTGTTCAGATTTGTGTTTCTTTTTTATTTTCCCTTACAGCTGAGGAGACTCAAAAAGACCTAGTAATCTACCAAGCTGAAAAATTTTGGAGTCCCAAACCACACCTCATCTTCGCTGAGTATGAAAATGTCTTTTAAGCCTTTCTCCCAGGTGTATCTAGGACACCTGAGGTGTACCTAGGACTTGCATCCCTAGGGAACAAAAGGATTCAGCGTGTGAAAGAGAAAAGATAACGTATGTACTTGTGAGTCCTCTGAAGCAATTCAGAAGAAAGGCGTTGCCACCCAAAAAAAAAATACACCACTTGACTTGGATTGACCTGAAGTGTCTGACCCAGCTTTTGCATTGTTCTGCTGGCCCATTTCAGGTGTGCTTTGGCTAGATCTTGTGGGAAGTCCCCAAAGAGACTTGCCGTGAGACAGAAACCAGTAGAAGGATTTTTAGCAGCAGCCCATACCAAAAAATATCAATCTAGGAATATCTTAGAGATTCCAAAAAAGAATTGTTTGCTAGAAAAACACTTAATATTCTAATTAGAGAATCAGCCTCTCGTGAGGTTTGTGTAATGCTATTGTCGGTGGCTTAGACGGACTTTAAAGCATGTCATTCTGATGTACAAATCTGATAAATCATCATCTGGTGTAACAGTTGTGGATTGCTTGTCAACCTTTTAAACATCAGGCTGTTTTCTCCTTAGCAGCAGATTGGAAGATATTGATTAAAAAACAAATTTGTAGCTGGCTTTTTTCCATCCTCCTGATCCCATATTAATATTGTACCAGAACTCCTATACTTCATTTTTGAATTTCTCTGGAGTCCTAACAATGTAGTCTCTACATTCTTTCCTTGTAAAAAAAACAAACTAGATTTTTAGCCATGTTTTTATTTGCATGGGAATGGACATTTTACAGTATCCTTCCCCTGCCACGCCCACAGAACTGGTAGTAAAAAAAATTGAAACCCACCACTGGTCTACCCACGTTTGATTTCCTTTAATCATTCCTAAAAATACAACCTATGCTTGAAGTTCTGGGCCATAAGCATCATTGGCTTTTGCTGGCTCGCCAGATTTGCTTGGTTTTTGTATGGCCTAGTGGGATGCAGCTTTCCTGGAGCTAGGCCAGACACTCAGTCTGACTTAATTTTATTTGCATGAAATGTTAATAAAAAATATAAATAAAATTATTTTCCAGTCATGTATTTGATATCTCCTCACCCCTGCTTTAGATAATAAAGTATAAATAGCTGTGCTAGATTGGCCAGAACCTATCTTGATCGGAGATTCTGCTTCTCACAATGCCCACTAGATACTGCTGGGGTACTCCAAGCAAGAAATGAAAAGCATCCTCTCCACCAGGTACTTGGACTTCACTGCCCCCAGCTTGGAAGTGTTCAGGATTAATAGCCATAATTGACTCAAAAATCTATTCAAGACGACTATCTCTATGTCACATACTATTGAATTCAGCAGGTTAAGAACTCACTCTGTGTGTGTGTGTGTGTGTGTGTGTGTGTGTGTATTGTAGATGAAAGGAAGGGCAGAGTTAGACTTATCTGACAATGAGTCCTATTAAAGGATTGCCTAGGGAGGGCTACCTAAGATGGAAGCCCAGTTCTAAATCACAGTAAAAACCAAACCAGTTGAAATTATGTAAAAATCTGATCTCTGCCATTGCATCCATAAATTGTACCATGGGAACAAGGCTTTACGGTACACATTGCATCAGGCCATTAAACAGGTTGTTTGGTGATGGCTTCCTGACCTGCATACCCAAGCAATTGTGAGCTTCATCACCATTTTTCTTATTTTTTTTTTCCAGTTTCCCACTCTGGTAGCATCCTATCCACATATCCACATACTACCCAGGTCAGATCTTTTTTGAGCTTTTAAGCCTAGTTGGCCAAACGCTGCCATTTGCCAGGCCATTCCTTTACTAAGAGTGACAAAAGCAAAGGATCAGAAAACAAAGGAGAGATGATTTATAAGATTTTATTACTGTTGATACTTGAGAATTTACATGAAAACATCATTCTGAAAAGATGCTATTTTGTGGTTGGGAAGAGGGGGTTTATCCAGGATCCTTTTTAGGCACTCTGACATATGAATATGTTCCCAGGGTGACTGTATGACTCCATATGAGCATATTATAAATGTCACAGAAGTACCAATAGAAGACAATATTCTAGCACTGATGATTTTACCTAGTTGGGTAATGAAACGTCTGCAAGAAAACGAGCATCAAGGACCCCACTGTCCCCAGAAGTGGACAGAAATTGAAAGATGTTCAGAGGTTTAAGATATTTGGAACGGTCCATTTGAGAGTCAGAAAATTTTGCATTTCACCCTAAAACAGGCCTCCATTTTACTGAGATTATTTTATATTGAGATTTAACTGGGACATGATCCCTGAAGCACTATTTTGAGTATTTCTTACTCCAAAAGGCAGTCTCATTGAGTCTAGAAAACGCTTACTGTCTCGGAATATTTTCTAAAGCAGCTGGATATAGAAGAGTTGTACAACCGTGTTTCTCTGAAAATTAGACCCTGTCTTATATTTTTTTAAACCCTGAAATAAGCACTTGGCCTTATTGCCATGCGCTCAAAAGCACGATTGGGCTTATTATCAGGGGATGTCTTATTTGGGGGGAAACAGGGTAATATAATTTTTATCCTTTTCAAAAATTGTCACCGGGGCAAATCACACTTGTATTTCCTGCAGTAATGTCCTGGATCCAGTCAATATAATCGAAGACCTTGGTGTAGACGCCAGGCTCAAGAACTTGGGCACAAGGAAAGCCCCCCCAAGATACAATGCCTTGGATTTCTCCATCACAGATGAGGGGTCCCCCAGAATCACCCTGTTGAGAAAAACCAAACATGGAACATCACATTACTATCTATGAATGGAAAGTGGAGCAAACAGTTCCCTTCCATTGTCCATTCCCATATAGCCCCAAATGTTTCACTTCGGTGTTCCCCAATCCAGGATCCTCATACAATTTAACTCCTAGAGTTTTCCCCCACCAGCATCAACTGTATCGGGAACTCTGGAAATCCAGACACCTAAAAGGCACTGGAGTTTAAAAAAGCTGTAACTTGGTATGTATGTTTCTACGAGATGCCTTCAAGGCTGGATCTCATAGCTGTGATGGTGAATGTTTTCGGCACCGAGTGCCCAAACCGCATTGCGCTCATGTGTGCGCATGCCGAGTACCTGAAACCTGAAGACCAGCTGGCTGGTGGATATGCGTGCGCCAGCCGCCTGGTCTTAAGGGTTTCTGGTGCACGCATGCACACTGGCCAGCTGTCTTCAGGTTTCCAGCACACGTGAAGATCACCTGGCACGCCAGAAAGCAGGAAAGAAGAGCAGCTGGTGATAGTGTGCGTGCCCACAGAGAGGGCTCTACGTGCTACCTCTGGCACAGGTTTCATGGGTTCACCATCACGGTCTTACAGCATTGGAAACTGGCATCGTTTCTTTAGGACTCTATCTTAGAAAGGATCATCTTACCTTACATGAGTCTTTGCCTCCTTCCAGTTCACCTGCACATAATATGTTCCCTGGCAAAAATGGGTAAGCTGCTTGACACACCTCATTATGGAGTACGTTAATGTTAACACAATGAGGGACTTCGGGATTAGTCACTGAAAAAATTAAAAATAGGCGAAGTTACATAGCTCCCCCTTTCACAATTTACCACCTAGATACATAGAGGCTATATATTCCCATTGTCTCCAACCAATAGAGCTTATCTCACTGCCTGGGGATAGAAAGTATTTTCTTTCAAAATAGCCCAAAAGGACTCCTGGGAAAAAATAGATTTTACCGGTAGTTAAATGTTTGCAAAGGATGGCTTTTGTCAAGATATTAATAGGTTTTAAATCAGGTGATGGGCATTTGAAGGCTTGTCAAATTCCTCCGGCACTCTATGCAAAAATTGCCTTGTGGGAAAAATAGGACTTTTGCTAGTTCAAGGATCATAGAACTGATCTCGCATCCTCTGATTCCCAACAGCACTGCTATAAATAAATCTGATCCTAGAAACTAGGTTTTGTTTTTTCTATAGAGCGAAGTCCCTTATTTATTTCATTTTTTCCAGGGACCTTGTGGAGGTAGAACTGATGAAGAAATGGAATCTTAGGGAACACC